AATCTGGTAATCCTCCAGCACCTGCTCTACAGAAAAGTCAGACAGTGCCTGTTTCAGGCTTTCCAGCCCAGCTTGCGATGCCGTCGTACCGAAGTAGTAGAGCTCCAAGAGAAAGAGTGTATGGACCGGAAGGCAGGATGCAAATTATGAGCGGCGGCGCAGAGGATCACACACTTGGGCACTATCTACACACAGTGAGAAATTGAGACACATACACACACTCGCCGAAAGGCACAAAGCTGCTGCGGTGCATAATAACAGCGAGACTCTGCATACACGAAAGTAGTGGTAGTAGTAGTAGTAGTAGTAGTAGTAGTAGTAGTAGCAGTAGCACCAGTAACAAGGATAATCGTGAGCACACTGGCAGTGGGAGAAGGAGGAGGAGGAGCAGCGGTTTTGAAGTCAGCTAGGCGGACTTGCATGTACAGGCAGGGGTCGGGCGCGGTCGGGCGCAGGGTGCAGGGTGCAGGTTGATGTGCACCAAGTTTGGGTGACCATGGGAACCATGATGTGTATGATGCTCGTGTAGCATGCACTGTGCAACATGCCGGCTCAAGGCAGAGCAGGCGAGCAAACCGGGGGACTGAGTATACCAAGGCTCTGCTTGGCGAGGTCTGCATGGCCACAGTTCTCTGAGAATGTGGCGAGCAGCGGTTACCAGGGCGGCTGCCGCAGCAGCCACTGTGGGCGGCACAGCCGTCGAGCGCGCCTGCCACCACACCAGGCATAAGGTTGCCGGAGCCCCACGACCATGAACAAAAGACATGGCCTCGCAACAGACCCCGCTCTGCCATGACCGCACAGAGGAGTCTGGATCTGTGCAAGGCAAGCGCATTGCAGACATTGCATGCTAAAGCCGAAAAGCCGGAAAAGGAGTCCTAAGACAGGCCTACAGAAGACGGCGCGGTCAAGGACGCCGAGGCCGCAGGTCTCAATGGAAGCGTCGGCACCGAAGCCTCGGCGCAGAGCGAATGCACCGAAATCACCGAAACATCAGCAGAGACGAGCCCTCCGAGAGCTCGGCTTCGCTTTCCATCCGGAAGCCATGGCCAATGGCCGTTTAGATTAAACGGCTGGTCCTATTAAGCCCCGGCAGCCCATGCACAGGTCCGTCGAGAAGCGCGAAGCTCTGTGCTAAAGGGGGTCACATCTAAATAGTGCTTTGCATGCGAAGCATGGCGGACGTCTGCAGCGAATGTTCCTCTGCTTCAGAACTCATTCTGACACCTTGGTTAATCGGCTGCCTCAATACATGCGGTCATGCAAAGAACGGGATCTTACTGGCACGGCCCTGCAAGACAGGGCTTTAGTCTCAAAGGACTTGGCAATTGCCACTTTTCGCGAAATGCAAGGCAAAGGTCGCAGAGACAAGTGGCTTCTCTGCACTAATTTTTGCGAATTACAGTACAGATACATTTAACGGGCCGCGCGACCATATTCAGGCGCACCGGCATAGCTGGCATCTACCCACAGCTTCTTCGCACCTCACTCATCTCAAAGCACAGCAGCCTGATCTTGGTGGAACGGTGACATTGCGACAACCATACGCTGCTCAAAGTCTCTCCGCGCCTTTCACTGTAGGAGTCTTCTCGGCATTCCTCTCGCCAGATGCACGGTACAACCAGCCGCGTAGTTCCGAAGTGACATGTCGGCTTCCTGTTCCGCGATCTCGCTCTGGTCATCCAGCAACCTGATCAGACAGGTGCAGAGGGGATGAAGCACTCGAAGCTCGAAGGTCGCGGCGCGGCGCAGGATTGTGTAGGACCAGTCTCCTTGGTACTGTCACAGGTCCTGGCCTTTGGAACTACGCTGCAAGCTCGCCTTGTTGCAGAAAACCCACAGTGCTTCTCTGGCTGGCAGGGCCTGGCAGGCTTGGGTCACGGCAGTGCATGCCGGCAGCATTTCCGCACACTTCTCCGGAAGAAACTCTGCAGACACTGACACTGATATGTATACTGTTTCAAGCCCATTCAGGGCACACCCGAACTTCCGGCGGCAGGTGACGAAGTGCCGCAGAGACAAGGCCATTGACCTCCATGCAGCACGGGCAAAGCAGAAAGGAGAGTTTGGAAAGCAGTGAGAGAAACACCTCCTGGCATGCATCATTCGCTCTGTCGTTTATCTCCTTCGCCTGTCAGGCAACAGCTGCTACTACATGCAGGAAGAGGGCTCAAAGACATCTTAAGCACTGGGGGTTCGGCTAACTTCCGTCGCGCCTCTTCGGCAAATGCCTGAGCTTGGTTGTTTACTGCCTTTGATTTCAGAGTGTAATCTGCAGCAAGCGGCATCCAGTGCATTGGCATCTAGCACCACCTGTTTTGCTTCGAGCGCGGCCTTCGCAACACGAAAAGCGCAAAGACTGGCATGAAACTCAGCAGCCTGCGGCACGCTGGGCTCTCGTGGCTCGCACTGCTCCATGCGTCGGTGCTTCTACACAGGGACCTGTTCACCGTCCTTCTTTTTGGTTGACCTTTGCTCGTGCATTCTGCCAGTCTGCACCTTCAACGGCCCTTGCTTTGAGGCTCAACTAGTCTCAACTGGGTTCACACATGTTCATTCCATTCTTCAACCAGCCGAAATATTGAGTAAGCTGGACTGCCGATAACTGCTGCAAGACACCTGGAAACAGCGTCTTATGTCGCCTTCCTTTTCTGGCTGCTTTGATGGAATTGTGCTCTTGGGGCCGGCCAATCCGGCAGCGCCCAGGCGCCCGATGCTCTCCTTGGGAGATCCTCTTCTCTGTCGCACTCAGCTCCCTCGGTCCATGTATGTACAGCCCCTTGGCAACAGCCGATGGCTCATGCCCGTCTTCCGGCGTCTGGGGCCGTGTGCCCTTTGCTGGATTATGCAATGTTCATCGCCAGCCAAGGGATGAGAACCTAGGTCGACCTGGTTAGCGTCGCGGGATGTCGCCGGCGCGTGCTGCCGCTTCGCGGTAGGCCCGCCTCCTCACCGCCAAAATAATGCTCTCGTGTCCGTCCAAGCCTTACAGAACAATCATGATTCTGCCCATCGACGACCGTGCTTGTGCTTCTTTGATGGGCTTTTGCTCTTGTTCTTTCTGCGCACCACGACGTTTTGGCTTGGAAGTGGCTGCGCAGGCATATACCGACCAGGAGGTACTGCGATATTTTCGAGGGGCAAACTGAATCCTGCAGCTGTTGGCTGCTGGCAGTCGACGATTGGAATCTGTGCCGGCTTCTCTGACTTCTCTGCCCATGCATTTGCCGATGGGCTTGCAGGGCTTCGGGGACGAGAAGTGTCGCTCAGAGGCGACGACAGCTCTGCCCGCGCGTCCTTCCGCTGCGAGCGCATTGAAGCAGGTCGCCGCACACGGACACGAAAAAGCTGCACGTCGCCACCGTCGCCACTGGCCGTCTCCTCCGTCGTCCGAGTTTCACCCGGACAAGTCTCGGAGAGGTCCATCCGAAGCCCATTGCAACCAGCGTGGGCATGGCAAGCGGCCAAATCTTTGCTATCCTCAGGGACCCAAGGCTGCTTAGACTCCTGGCCGTCTATCTGCCCGCTTGCCCCACTTGCAGTCCGGTCCGCACAGGGGTCTCGTGGCACCAGCGGGACGAGGCAAAGCGGTTTGCGCAGTACATGCGGGGGGTCGAGGATGCGTGGACTTCCGTTGACCTGGCAGCCTCTCTCCATCAGGCTTAGAGACAGCTGGACGGGCAAAGCTTGAATTTTGAGGGAGTACCAGATCATGCCATCGTTGATGTCGATGAATGCTCTTACGGTCTCCAGCCTGACTGTCCCGAGGCCGACATTGAGGCGATCGACATAACTGACAGCAGGAAACCAGCGCGCTGCGTCGGGACCGATGCCATGAAAACTCTGGCCTGTCGGATCAGCCTCCACTTGCCCCACCCTGCTCGGGCAGCAAAGATGCTGCGACTCTGTACTCAGCCGAACGCCACATCTCAAGTTCCAGGTCACACGTCTCTCGGGATCACTGCCAGGCTCTATCTCCATCTCCCCCATAACAAGCTCACAGTGCCCAACATGCGCCTCCTCCCAGAGAGGATGCACACAAATTGAAGCCGCATTGGCAAACACACGCACAGCACTGCGTTTGGAACTCTGCGAGCCAGAAGACCATCGGGCGTGGAAGCTCGTCTCACCACATTCCCTTCCAGTCCATGGGCCAAGGAAATGACCAGAGTCCGGGAGTGATGCCTGCAAAGGAAATGCTTCGGAACGGTGGCGTTTTGGATCTTCTTGAAACTGTGCGGCGCACGCCGCCACTGCACTAATTTCCAAATTGCCAGCCATGAAATGTGAGTCCGGCGCCCTTAAGCTGAAAGGGAAGGTAAAAAATGCAGAGCCCATCCTTTGCGCATGGCCCTCGTTTGATTCACTGCATTGGACGCTGACGGAGACTGTAGCCCCCACGCGGGTGTGCCAGGTGCGCGTTCTAGTGCACCACGCGACCTCAACTTCATCACCAGCTCCATGGAACCGCACGTCAATCCCACCAGGCACCCGTTGCTGAGGCAATTCCCACGGTGGTACTGCAGCCTCGGCGATACGCAGAATGTGAGCTGATGTCCTCTTGAAAGCCCACCCAAGTTTGGCCTCGCATGTCAGACAAACTGCTACATGCACCTCGGCAGGATCCAAACAAAGCCGGACAAGATCAGGGGAACTTTCAAGCCGTTTGCGGCAGACAGTCTCGCTCGGAGTAAGAAGGAACCAGGCGTGGGAATCCGGAAAGCCGTCGCTGTCACACATCGAACCCGGTGCTGGCGACACAGTCTGCAAGTCAGTGGCAAGGCAGCATATGGCTCGACAGGACTTGCAGCGAACAGCTGAGGCGGATGTGTCAAGCCAAGCACTTGCTGCAGCCACCACATAAAGTTCCGCCCGCCAGTGGCACCAGTGCTGCGCTTCACTGTTGAACCCTACTGGGCTACCACGTGGAAACCTCCGCTGCCACAGCACCTCGCCGGCCGAGTGCGGTGCTCTCTCCATGCCGAACTAGAAGCGCGGTGCAGACATCACGCCCGCTCACCAGCGCCACGTCCCAAGCGTTGTGGGCCGCTTCATGGTCACACTACATTCACTTTGGCTATTTGCATTTCTCCTGCTGCCATCACCCTCAACATCGGCAAACCTGCCCAACCCCACAACATGGTGATTGACTGGTCCTGCTGATTGATTCCATTCCACCTGTTGATGTCCAAGATGCCTGCAACACGAACAGCGAGGATGATCAACATACAACGACGACTGCAATATCAACTTATGTCAAGCAGTATCACTTCGCCGACAGTGTCCGATGTTTGTGTTGTCTGTCGATGTGCGCTACAACCTTGCCGTCCTAGACTGATGGTGATGGTGCTGAAAACCAATGTAGCAGCTTCGGAGCTGTCCCGTGGCCCTCGTAGCATTTCCAAGTCAAATCAGTCAAACATTCAAGCGGTCACATGGGTTCGACTCCCACCTGTGCACCTGCTTCGCTCAGTTTACCCTACGAAGCAACAGTGCTTCATTCACTTAATTAACAACAAAACTATTTAGGAGGCCGAACCTGTGTTGAATACCAATTCCGTAGACATCTGCAGACTGTTTGCGCGGGGTCGGAGCTTAAAAATCTGAGCATGGTTCAGGATCCGTGGTGAGTTGGCCGGATTGGACTTCCCCGGTCGTAGGGCTGCGAACAAAATTAACAAGACAACCACCAGCCAGGATGACCTCCAAGATTCTGGAGAGTTTCTGGTCTCTCATACAGCTGCCCAGGTCAAATCCGATGATGCAGTGCTACCACACAACACCTGAGAGCAAAGAATAATTGACAATACTAACACAGAGACCCTTATGCTCAAGCTCTTCGCTCAAGATGGTACTTAAGAATGTAATTGGGTTGTACTTCCAGCAATGCCGCCTGCAGTGCCCTCTTTTGACCACGGGTGCATGGCGGCGCTCTGGGACTCCACCCTCATGTCCCCACGGCGCGCGCAATCGATGGTGAGTCTCCGTTCGGAGACCCATCTTTGGCTTCGTGTCAGACGCTGAGATCAGGCGATGCATCCTGCATCCTTAAGGGCAGCACCAGAGCGGAAAGGGAAGTGGCTTTGTGGATGCACGGCCATCGTTGGGCTTCCGGCCATTGTCATGGCCTCGGGAGCCTGTTGCGCTTGCGGAGTTGGCTGCTGTTCCCTTCATTGATCCATCCCGTCCCTCTCCGCACCCGCCTGCACGCTCGCAGGTGCGACGAGCCTGAAAAAATCTGGAAAAGGAAGCAACAGCAGGTGGATCAGGAACGACAGGAGGCACTTTCATGCAGCCTCTCTCCCTCCGCATCTTCCCTGAAGAAAACTTCGGAAGGAGGTGGCAAGCGCCTCGGAACCCGTTAGTCGACTGCTGCAGCCAACGGAAACAGAATGCTGCAGAGCGCTCAGCAATCGACCCCATCGCAGCAGGAGCAATGAAAAGGCCGATTAGTATCAGGAGTCTGCTCAGCACCACGTCCTTGCAGCTTTCAATAGCATGCCCAATTTCTTGGACAGCCAGGCACAGAGTTGCCTCATCCCAGGTTTGGATGCCCACCTCTTGGAAGCGATCCCTACGGACTGGGATTGCCTGTGCGGCCTGCGTGCATTGAGCCCCAGGCCGCGACCAAGCTTAGTGCCAGCACCAGCACCGCGGAGCGCTGGCAAAACGGGAAGGAAGAGTTTCTGGCAACATCCCTCGCCGTGCGCCGCAGCTCTTGAGCATGCATCCGTTTGTGCCTGAGGGTGCGCCAGCGTCCTGCAGCAAAGCATGCTTCAGAATGAAACGAGGGTAAGGAGTGTAAGGTCGAGAGGCAGAAGCAAAGGATCTGACCTGACGAAGGTCTGCAAGGAGCTACTTGTGGTTGAACTCACACCTCGCAGGGATGCTCTGTATCTGCTCCCACCGAGTAGCTTCGACAGGCTCAAGCCTTCCAGGCATTCATCTGCCTTAGGGAGCCGCACGCGTCGCACGTCTACCCTGAAGTCGTTGACTGTCCTTGACTTGATGCATCCGGGCAGATGGCACTTGAGGACTTCCCGGGCTGCTTGGCATCCTGCTTTCAAGAGAAGTTGCAGCTTGGGACCAAGGCCATCCCAGAGCTCCTCCCCTCTGCGTCGCATGATCGGCAGTGGCTCTTCATGAGAGATGAGGAAGCAGGCAGCGCCATGCCAGCATCGAGCTTGAAGTGTGAATCTTGAGGTTCTTCTGCTGGCTTGGCTATGCTTGGCGTACTATAGACAGGTTTGCAAGCACTGGCCATGCTGTTCGTGAGAACCCACTTGCGAATGCACAGAGATCATAATGCTGCAAGTTTCAAGGCCTCGCAAAAGCCGTCGGACTGGCAAACCCGGAATTGTAGTGTCGAACGGCAGGCATGGTAAGCATGCTGCACCAGAGCACCTCTGCTGCAGCAATGCCTGCGTCTTTCTGTCAACAAACACGCGCACTGCTCCACTGCTCCCACCATCTCCTATCTCCTAGACTAGAGTGTCTGGCATGGGCCAGTTCATGTCTTCGCAACTGCAGCTCTTGGAGCGCAAGATGCAAGACATAAAAAGAGGCTCGGCACAGAGTGCTCACCGCATCTCTGTGGCTAGAGTAAAGAATTCCTGGGGAGACGTGCAGCTACCAGCCATGTCGTTTTGACAGGAGCTGCAAGCTGCTCCACAACTTGCACAGCTTTGTCTGTGCTTGCCTGCACGGTTTTGTCTGTGCAGGTGCTCGCGTTGGATTCCGATCAAGCAACACACATGTTGCCTCAGCAGGTACAGTGGGCGGCTGCCAAATGGCGTGGTGCGGCTGCTGTTCATGGAGGACGAACTCAGTGCGGCGCACGACGAGCCCTCAATGGAGAGAGCGCTCTGTGAAAGACCTCGGGGCTCTACACTCGCAATTGAGCATGCCCATAGCTCTCTGAGCCGCGGGCGAACCGTGCGGGGCTCGGGCTCACCCTGACAACGCTCGGACTCACTTGCACTTATGCCGTGAGCAGCAAAAAGCGAACTGAGAAGGGAGCAGGCAAACGCTTGTTGTTGCAGGCACAATCTGTCAAGCCAAGGAAGAACCTGTCCAAGGGTGCAAGTGCGCGGCAGGCAGGGGCCGTCAGGTACTGAGGTACAAACTGCTGTTTGGCCATACCGGCCATACCAGCTCCTCCTGCTCCCTTAGTTCATCATCGATGGCATTGTACAAGTAGCTGATCAAACAAGTGCACAGCGACAGAAAGGCATCAAAAGCAATCGCGAACATCTCCAGAATGCAAGCGTTCGCTCCGCATGCTTCAGTGGCGGACCAAGGCTTCCTCGAAGCTGAACATCTTGTGCATCTCTTTCGACCTACAGTCACTACAGAGCATGATACCCAAGGACAATTCGTTGCAGCGTCAACGCTGCAGAGTTCATGTTGACTTGAGCGCAAAAGTACCCATGGGTCCCTGGCATCTGCCGATGTCGACCTGCAGCTGACCTCTGTGCCGTGACCTTGGCAGTCGGCATTGCGCTTTCAACCCAGGCATCTCTAGCTGAGAAGTGGAAGCATTCCACAACGGCCAGTTCAGGCGTGAAAAAAGCAATATAAGTCCAGAGAAAAGTTTGGTGCAAGCCACAATGAACGTGGCACTGCTGACATAAGTGTCCAAACCTTCTGCAGTTGCCGATTCTGGGCACCGAGGCATCCAGGAGCTTCAGTCGCAGCGCAGAGCCAAGGCCTGCAGGGAAGAGGCGATCGCGATGGCGGCACTTCGGGGCGCGTGGCCCGGGTCCCGTCCTGACTCCAAGAAATCACCGCGAGAGCATATGCCTGCAGCGAGGCCACAAAAAGCACGAACCCAGGCCTGACTGCACAAGGGCGGAAACTCTGACATAGCACTGATTTCGCCACCACTCTCTAAAAGTCTTTACGTGACGAGTACATCACCTGTCCGGACCAGTGGACTGGAGCAGGGATCGAAAACTGGTGGCTCGGTGTCACCGTCTGTGCTTGGCACGGTTCAGCGGAGCCCGAGAAGCCCAACACAGCGCAGGCTCACTTGTGAAGTTGCGCTCTGGCCACACAGAGTCGAGACTTGAACCAGGCTCCGTTGTTGATGAAGTGACACCTCAACTCACCTGCTGCTTTTGCTGTATATTGTCCGCTTACGACACCCTCGGTCGCCTGCACCAAACCATCGGATTTCTGAACCAACTCAGGAGAAACTCCATCTGCAACGAACCAGAGCTCATATGAGATGTCCCAGTAGCAGACTCTCAGCTCCCAGTCCAAAGTGCAAGGCCCCTCTGCCCTTAGAAGGGCTACCTCTTCCGTGCAACGAGCGCGTACTTGGACGACGTGGCAAGGGCCTGCCAGTGCACCTTCCCGATGCATGCCTCCAAGGCCTTCAGGTACCTTGTCGGCCGGGATGGTCTCAAAGAGTTGTGCATGGTCGTTTTCACCCAAAATCTGAAACTTCTTAAGCGTCCTCTCCGGGATGAATATGGAAAACGCCTTGAAAAGCTTTGCGAAAGCAGTCGGAAAATTAACGAAGATAGTCTTGCCCTTCGTCTCTGGGTAATGATCGGAGAACACTTTCGTGACAGCGGAAACTGCATCCTTCACCTGCGACGTCTGAAAGATTAGCGGCACACCTGAGTAGTCGTGCACCTGAGTCAACTCCTCGGGCTCGCCCTTCTTGAAAGAGATCTTAGCCATTGCCTCTTCCATCAGCTTCGCACGATATCTCACAAATGCTTCGATGTCGCCAAAGACTTTCTCTAAGTCCATCTTCCCAAATCGGCTGATCATGACTGGCCTGCCTTCCACATCTAAGCCACTTATGACGTCATGGCCCTGATAGCAGTCCGGCAGAACTGCATCCCTGAGCCCGTCAATCTTGCAGTCAGCTCTGAAGACTAATGTCTCGACGATGCGATCAGCTGCCTTGTCTAGGTTCAGCTCCTCTGCACGGATGTACTTGAGAAGAATGATGTCAGAGGCCTCACAGTCTTGCTCGAGGTCCACACCCCAGATTGTGAGTCGCTCGGCAGTCTTTGCATCCTCCGATGTTTCACGCGCTTTGGCCACCAGAGATGGCACCCGCCCACGAAGCTCGGCCAGCAAAGCCCGCTCAGTATCGCCCAGTTTGTGCAAATAACAATGAGATAAATCCACCATGCTCTCTGAAGGCCGTCACTCGGCCGCATAAAGAACCTAAAGGCATCGGCATGTACATCTTATCTTGCATGGCAAGTCTCACTCACAGCAGGCGTGTGATGTCCTGTCGACACAGATCTGCCTTCTCGCAAATTCCAGGGATCGGGGTAGGCCAGAACAAGATGATCCTGGCTTTTGTGTCCTTCCACTCGTGACATCGCCGAAAGTGGCGTTCTTCAACACTGGGTACTGGCAATCTCGGCGCAGTCCTGAAGTAGGACTACCAGGTTCTTCGTCTGGAACATGAGACGGTGTCGGAACCTGAAGAGACTCAAGAACTCAAGGCTTGTGCGCTCGACTCTAAGAACAAGTTGCATGCGAGCTCAGATTCAAGCTGTCGAGCGAGGAGTCACCGGCTTTGACATCGCCTCCTGGCCACATGGTCTGATCTGTAACATGCAACATGAAAAGCAGCCACAAGCGCACGGCGCCTCGGTAATTGACTTCCACACCTCTTGCACCAAGTCGAGACATCTCATGTCGGCCAGACGGCCTGGCAGCACACCCGATCGATGTCTTCTCAAGATCGACACAGCACGAAGCCTTCAAACTCTTTTGCTACCGCGCGCGTGATCTGCCCGCGGGTCAGAAAGCCCACCTGCAATATCGAAGCGAGATTTAATGAGGATGGGCTCCCGAGTCACCTGCCTGACTCCAGTCCCAGAAGTCGAACCACCTAAGCAGAACCAAAAAAGTGCGCACCCAAAACAGCGGCGGCCGGCAGCCCCTGCCGTCTCTCTGAGAGTCCCCTGCCGGCCAAGCGCCTCAGAGCCGGCGGCCGCTGCCAGGCCTCGGCGAACGCGAACGCGGCGCGAGGATTGCGAGGTGTCCCAGAGCGTCGGCATGCGCGCCGGCTGCCGCCGCTTAGGCTGCCGGCAAGGCTGAGGTCTTTGACCACGGTGGACGAGCTTCAAACGAGCGAGGATCCAGACCTACAGCGCGATGGCTCCTCTGCGGCGCGGCTTGGCTTTCCCCTCTTTTGCTTGAGCCGGAGGCCAAGAGTCCACCGTCTGGATCCTGAGAACCGTGCAAAGACGCTGAAAATCCACGAGTGAGGAAATGCTTCTGAACAGGCTGTGACAGCCTCGAAAGCCTTTCGGGTGATTCGGCCAGTACCTGCGTCAAGACAACGGTCTCGATCGGTTGCTCTCTGCAGGCGCTCAGATGGAGCTTAAACCTTCATGCTTTCTGATGATAATCGTGGGAACTAAGGGCGAACCGATGTGAGCCGACATCTGACGACACAAACGACCAGTCAAAGGTGGACACGTTTAGTGCACAGGGGAGGTATATAACTCAACAGTGTTCATTAAGAAGCCAGAAATACCCCTGGGAGTATGTAGCATGATGTTCACGTGTTTGCACACGGATTGAACAGTCGTTCCGTCCACAGTGAGGCTGAATCTTGGCCGGTCCCTGCCCGTCCTTCTTTGTCCCACTGGCGCCAGAGCTCGGAGGACTGCAGCTGGGCAGCTGGCAGGGGAGAATCCTTGGAAGGTCCAGCTTGGAAGTTCACTAGAGACTTGCGGATCTCATCCCAGGCAGCCACTGGGCAGCTACTATGCGTCTGGCACTGATCTGAATCATCTCCTCATCCAAGGCAGTGATTTGACTGTTGTCACCTGAAAGACTCTGCAAAAGCTGGCGAGACCGAAACTGCGTTAGCAGTCGATGGAGGTTCCCAAGGCTCTCGCTTTCTTGCGCGACTGCATCGTTCACTCCCTTGCACTTTGATGCTTCATCCTGCAAACGACACTTCAGTGGAGAGTTACTCTCTCTCCCTGCTTTGCATTTTCGAACCTGCGGCAAGTGGTTGTCGTCCGGTTTGAGAAGAGTCTCCAGCTTTTCGCGATCGATGGGAAGCACGACGGACTCAGGCCAAAGCATTTCTGAACAAACCGCAGCGGTGTGGATCAGCTGGATACAGCCGACAGCAGTACCCGTTAGCCTCTTCTGGCTGATTCTCTGACACTCCACTGTCTTGCATACCGCAGATTTCTCTTTTACTGCAGGACGGGACACACTCCCTGACAAATCGCAAGCCCGTGAAAAACACTCTCGGGCTCCTCATCTTCATCCGACCCCTCCTCCTCTCATCGTCCTCATCCTCCCCAATGCCCTGACTCTGTGTTGTTGCCCTTGGCCGCCTGCATGGCACAGTTGGGACACATGGCGATCTTCTCTGATCGCTTCCTGGTTTGACGGTGGTTTTGGACCCTCGCAAGTGCCTCCCGGCTCTACCGCCGAACTCGCCATACGACGCAGCTGCCAAACACCTTCCGGCGCGCATTGCAAGACCTGGGGCTTGGCGAGGTCCAGAGCCGGTGCCACTGTCCTTGTCCGGGAGCTAGCTGTTCTTACGAGCAACGGGAGGAACAGTGCGCTCCCGCGCCGGCAACTTAACTGTAACCGTAAGTACAGCTATCTTAATCGGTGGAGTGACGACGGGTTGGCAAGATCACGGAACGTCCCGGGCGTGCGTCTAGGGAGGGTTCACAGCGCTTGTTTTGCCCTTGCGTACATGCAATGTCCCACAGGCCCAGCCAATGCTTCCAGACGGTGCTCTTTACCCTAAGCCCTAAGCCGGTACCCAAGACAGGAGAGCGCCAAAAAAAGAATCTAAGCTCCGGGCCAGTGCCCCGAGCACCTACGGACAGACAAAGAGTTGAGTCTGATCTCCCTTTGCTAAATTCATCTGTGACAGGGGGTCCCTCAAGAAGCGGAAGCGCTTCATTTGGAAGCCTCTTCGAGGTCCAGGTCTCCAGTGCGGTCAATATCCATAGCATCAAACCAGGCACCAGGATCTGAGGCAAGAGAATGCGATTTGCGATTTTGAGGCTTTTCAAAAAGGAAAGATGCATGCATCGCGGTGTATAGGGCGGCAACTGTGACGTATGTCGGGCATCTCCCGCACCTCACTAAAGCATGCCCGGCCTCAGTAGCCAATACCAACGACATGTTTCCCCTTGACAAACTCATTGCAGAACTCTATAATCACAGCTCGCCACAGACTGGACACTTGCGCGACGCCAACTGTTGCGCACACTCTAGGTGGAAGATGTGTCGGCACGCCTGGCATCAGTTGAGCAGGGAGCTGGAGCTTTTGAGAAGCGCCCGAACGAGCGAGTGGCGCCCAGCCCAGCTTGCCGGCTGCAAGCAGGTAAGCAAGGCGGGACCCACTGCAAACCTCAAAGCAAAAACAGCGAAAACAAAACGACCCAGACAGAGGCGCTGAGACGTGCGGAGGCCCGCCTGCTCCAGGCAGATGACACACTCACTGACTTCGCCTTGCAGGCTCGCCTCAATGCTGTCCGGCCTCAAGGCAGAGACAGAGACTCTCACGGCAGGCTCTCTGGGCCTGGCCCTCTGGGCCTGGCCCTCTGACCGAGTCCGGCACCTGGTGTTCTCACTGAGCGTATCGAGATGGCTCAATGCCTCAGGCGCCGAATCAGAGGTTGAAGTCGTCAAAACGTAGAACTTGCTTTGGCGGCGAGCATGAAGCAATCGCACATTGGACTCCACCTGTGCTCGCTATAGGTCCGGCGCATTGCATTCAATGGTCCATTGCGGGCAATCTGTGCCTGGTACTGGCGACGATTTCGCATGTAGTCGGCAACACCATACCTGGGTGGATCAACAGGGGAGCACATTCGTGGTCAGCACATAAAGTGGCGCATCTGTGCCAGTTGTCGTTCTCGCCACATTACGCGTTGCATGTAAGATGTTTGCTTCGCAAGACTATCACACCATGCACATCTGAAGGCGCACCGCGGATCCGGCATGTACTTACCTGCAGACAGAAAGCTGTCAGCTCACTCAGCTCCAAAGCTCTATGAGTCAAGCTAGATTATGCTCTGCAGCTTTCCTGTAACTGTTGTCGAGACCAAATCTGCAAAGTAGCACGATGCGTCAAACATTCGGCACGGTGATTGCTCAAGCAGTGTAGGTTCATGCGCAGGCACATCACGTCTGGAGGCACCAGCATGCTACGCACTCACGTTGCTTCTTTCGAAGGATCTTGCATTGCTTCGTTTTCATCTTCGGATCTTTGCATGATCTTTGCCGCTCGTCCTCCGCAATACCATACAAAAGGTGACTTGGACTTCCATTGTTAGTCTCGGCTTCTCGGGTCTATCCAGGAGTTTCTTCAGACAGTGTCAGTTGCACGGGATGCCTCTTCTTCAGTGTCAGCAGTCTGAAGCGCACTTGTGCACGCGCACCTTGCATCTCTACGATGTGGGCCAGGATCTTCTCCAGTCGCCTTCGGCGCTCCTCGCCCTGCGCAAAGAAGTTTGGGCAAACTCTGCCCGAAAAAGAGAACTCTGCGCTCTCGCTCTCTCTCTCTCTCTCTCCGGCTCGTTCCGGCCGCTCGACCTTCATCTCAGCGGCTCCGAAGCCCAGGCGCATCCCGCCGAAGTGGTCGGGATTGTTCAGGAAGGGCTGAGTGATGTGAAGCACCAAGCAAAGCCTCACAGGCTCAGGGCTCAGGCGTCTGAGGGTGTCTAGAAACGAGCGAGGGTACGCTGAGCAAGGCACCCGAACGTCTGCGTGTCCGTCAATGAAGGGACCTCGCTTTCTTCGCACGCTGCTCGCCCGAGCATGGAAATGCTGCAAGCTGCAGTCTAAGCTTCACGCGTGTGCCCTGTGCGGCACGCTGACGTTGTACGTCATTCGGTCTCGATCAAGGGCCCAGATCTAGCAGCAGATGCAGGAGTCTGCGATGCAATGCATGCAATGCATAGCATAGGCATACGCACATCGAGTTTGCATAAGGCCAGCTCCACTCGAATGTTGGTGACGATCAAGTGACCAACAAGGTCCTGGAGATGAGCAAATTCGATCGCCTTGAAACTTCCAGAATTCTGCCTCTTGGGACGCCCCGAAGTTCAAGATGCCGTGGTAGGTCTCTGCAACCTGCGCCCAAAACCAAAGCAATCTCAGATTCTTTGTAGACTGGTAGCAGAATTCTTACTCCTATCACAGCCCTACAATGTGCCTCTTCGTTTGGGAGGAGATTCAGCTCGGGCTGACTCACTCCCTTGTGGGCGAACAAGTCTCGCCTGATGGGAACTGCAATGGAACTGTTATTCTTGTGAGCACTCCTTTTCACCTGATGATCTTAGAAAAGGACTGGCGGAGGGCGCAATGCAGAAAGTAATGTGCCCAGTTGTAGGCCTCAGCAACACAAGTCACTGAGTCAAGTTGTGAGACTAATTCCAAGCTGGATTTCTGGGTTCTGCGACCTTCAACGCTTTGTCCAGGAAACTCGCCAGCGTCTGCACGAGACACCGGATGTTCCAAGTCGAAGCGAGCAAATCACAGCACGTGGCAGTCTCGGCCTGATGCCATGCTTCGCTTCCCTCCGGGCCCGATTCCTCGTAGCTGCCAGCTGAGTGTCAACGCCATGCAACTCGGACTCGGTCCTCCGGAATCGCCGTGGTGAACGCCGGAACCGTCTCCGCTGGCTGCAGGACCTGGAGAATCATCTCGAACTGATCGCCGTAAGCCTGGCCGAGTCTCTACATGAGCGTTCTGCGCCGAAGATCCTCCACGCTCGCTCTTACTGAGGCTGGGCCGGCTAGGCTGTGAGACTACTAGGACGGGTGTGGGATGCGTGGTTGAGCAGTAAATTGATTTGCTCGCCAACACAAGAAAAACACACGCACACAACAACAAAAAAACTCTGCAAGTACCCAACCTCTTCACATCTACCGCCTCGCGAGAAAAGTATGTCTACAGCACCTGCGACCCAATCATACCCAATCCCTTTCCCGGTGGTCCAATCGAAGCAGTTCGCGTTCTCAGCCTACTTAAGCCTTGTGCATGGACCTGCGAGCGGCAACAGAAGAAATCAGATGAGCAAACGCTGCACACATTCCTCAACGGCATGAAGCTTGAACGCCGTGATCCTAGCGAGTTTGAGCAACTTCAATTCGAGCCACCCGTCCCGTTGCTGACACGAGTACGACTGATCGCTCACGACGGCACGTCGCACTTCCCGAAAGAAGACCCCTTGCAAGATCTCGCAAACATTGCGCTGAGCCGCGAGTTGCCGAACGCCGAATCAAGCCTTCACTCTTGGAAAGCCAAGCCTCTCTGGCCACGATGCGGACGGCACATCCACCAGCATCAAAACAGACGATGCCCACCTGGCAAGAAACTGTGAAGGGTGTGCATAACTGGAAACTTAGCACCTGTGGCTCCCCAGACTAAAGGCTTGCGCCCAACCGAAGTTCCGCATCACATCTGAGTCGGGCCTCCTCTATCATGCCATAGCCAATTACGATGGCACTCCCAGCCAGCCGCCTGCATCTTGGCTGAGGAATTCTCCCAAGTGGCTGTGCTACGGCCCCTTCCTTGCACGTTTGGAGGTCTTTGGCTGCCCTGCTGCGGGGCTTGGGAAGGTAGGCGGAGCATGCCACCACCTCACAGTTTCGACCCAATGGCCTGTGGGCTCAGCGCTTCGAGCACTGCAAGGCTGAGCTCACCACATATACAGCTCCGTAAGAACCAACACCTCGGCTCTTCCACCAGCTCTCGGCACTACATCTACCTGAATCTACGCGAAATTCATAATTGGTGCGTCCCACTTGTACTGGGTGCTACTGTCACCGCCTCTGCCATTGCCACTGCCACTGCCACTACGACTACGACTACGACTACTACTGCTACTACTACTACTACTACTACTACTACTACTACTATCACTACTACTACCACCACTACCCCACCAACAGGAAGAAAATCCGACCACCGGCATTGGGAAGCCTCGGAACTGCTGCGACACCATCTAAGCTGTCAGCGCCAACTCTGGTGTAGTCAGCCGACCCAGTGTTATACACCCGGACGTCCTGCATCATGCTATGTTTAAGCTGGACCGGCAGCTGCTCAAGCTTGGGCACACAGTCCTCAACCTCGTTGAAGCGCATGATCTCTTGCCCTAGCAATTGGCGGAATTGCGGAAAAGGCCTGAATCGTGCTGCAGCAACGGCGCCTCCTTCCTTTAAAACTGATTCCCAGACCTTGGACCTGTCCTGTCCTCAGATGCACAGGCAGGGGTCTCCGCTGTTTGGCTCTCGCAACAATTGTTCAGGTCCAGACGTGTGAAGCTCTCATAATACACCTGGGCAGATGTGGCTCGACGTCTGCTGGGCTTTACAAATTCAGAGCCTTCGTGCCTTGTGGTCGAAGGGTTGCTCGGGTTGCAGGGCCGTAGATCTGGAGAAACCCTTGCAACAACATCCTCAGCTGCAAACAGGTCGCAAGCACAGTTCACTTGAACGAGCATGCAGAGATCAGCCGGCATGGAATACTGACTGAGGCAGTAGCCCCCCATGGTTGCAAAGAAGGCCTTTCGGCTCGGGTCTCTATCACCCACACGCCACATGAAAGCAAACAGACACGGCCGGAGTCCAAGCTGTAAGACTGCAAGAGAAACATCTGAAGGAGGAGCGAGGGGGAGGGAGAGGGAAGACAACAAGTGACAAGAGAAGAAGGTCAGAGAGAGGGAGAGAGGCGAGGCGATGCGTTCTCACTGAAACAACAAAGTGTCACTGGCAAGATTATCTCGCGCTTCCAAAACCTGAACTTGCAAAGTGCCCACCTCGGCGGCGCAAGGAAATTGCCAGGACTGGCACTGGTCGTGCCAAGTGTTGTACGGTCTTGCAGACGCCCCGCAAAGACTAGCAGCACCTCAGACCAAACAACTGCCAGTCAGGTGCATCCGCTGGCGGCCTGCGTACATGAACGTACCAGTCTTCACTCCGCTGCTTAGCCGGCTGCATCGGAATGGCCATGAAGTCGCGTTCCACAGACCAGCCTAGCTCAGGGAGAGACCTTTCAAAGCCCGCCACTGATGAAACGACCGAGCGCCAAGCGCCGACCTGGAAATGCACAAGCTGAATGGAACGACTGTGGCCCGAGCCAAAACGAATCGAATCAAGACGCCAAATATGCCCTCGCTCGAAAAATCCCACGGACACAAACTTCGGCGACATGGGAACACGATGCATCCACCTGGACTATTTTGCTCGGATCGCACAGCAATCCTTGTTCGAATTGACGTTGCACGTGGACATTATCACTACGCTTGTGGCATTTGTTGAAAAGTGTGGCATCATCTGCATGGTCGATGGACTGTCGCAGACTTCAAAACAGAAAGCAAACTGTACATTCACTGTGCGTTGTTCGAATTTTCGTCGGATTAGCTGTGACGGACTCAGATCGCAGTCCAATGCGGCGCAGGCACCTGCATCCGGACGAGTCACATGCCACCGTTTGCAGTCTGCAGGCTGCCCACTGCACACCGTGGCATAGCGGCATACTCTCAGACTCAGCATGTTTAACCCATGCTTCATCTCCCTGTGGCTCGTTCACACACTGCCGCACCTGCTTGGCAGGCGAGTTGGCGAAAGGTGTCAGCACGCCAACCGACAATGGAGACTTAGTGGCCCAGAAACAGCCACAGCAGTCATGACAAAAAACATCTTTTGGATTCAGCCCAAGGCATCTGGAACAGGCTGAATTGGTGGCCATGACCTCAACACGATGTCAGCTTCCGTGACATGGTGTCGAGGAAGCTGCCAACCACAGCCTCATTCATTACCTTTGCAAAGTGTAGTTCACTGAGCTGGCGGCTGCTGTCTTTGGACACCCGGTCTTGCAGGCTGCTGGATTTGCTGCAGCTGGTAGAACCCAGGGTCGCCAACGTCACCGCAGTGTTGACACTGAGAGGGTGGCGGGTACAAGCTTCCCAGAATAGTGGGAGGCATAGTCGGAGGCTCCAGGCGTTCCGCAGTTTGCACTTGAGGCTGAGTTGGAGGTGCTGACAGCTGCGGCACGGTCTCTGGCCCGGTGTCGAAACCCGAAAAGGCTTCGGCAGATCGCCTGACAAACGCTATCTTCGAAAACGAGCGGTACAATTGCATTTGATGGCCTTGCGACTTCAAGCTCGTGCTGGGGGAGACCAGCCTGAAATCATGTTCACGGGCCCGCAGCCGCAGATTCCGTTTGAGTCGCGGAATCTGGAAGCCTCCTGGCCCTGACGTACTGCAGCGAGAAGAGCGTACGGATTCCTGCGATCACAGTGCGAGGAGCTTCCGTGGTTCCGTCCCCCCGCCGCTCGAGGCCAGGGCCCGCTGGTCCGAGCCAGATGCAACTCCTACGACGGACCCAAGCACGAGAGCCGCGGGAGTGAAGAGCCCTTCGAATTGCATTCTAACGCGTCCTGGCGCGCGTGAAGACGAGCGTTCAGAGCGTCCAAATGCCTCAGCTATCGCATTATCTGGAGCAGACTTGGTGACAAGAACTTAGAGCATCTGTGCTCCGCTCCGCTTGGCCGCGGAAAGCTCTGGTGGGCCAAGACCTTCACAAAAACAGGAAATCCTGTCGGAAGTTCTCAGATTCTCAGCTGGGCCAAAGCCTGGCCCCTGCCGTGGCCCCGCCTCCGAGTTCTGCTTGCTTGATGGCCGCCTCCCCCGCCCGCACCGCTTCTGCACGTATAGGACACCCCCAGTTCAAAGGCCTGTAACCGGACGGCGTCGTTGCTGGCGAGAGCACCATCAAGCTGCTGCCTGTCATGTCGCAGAGGCCGCGCGCTGGTCACTCGGCTTCTACGAGTCGCGCACTCAATAGGGCGCCTCAGCCAGCTGTGAGACTCCAACTCTCGAAGCCGATGCCATGCGGACTCCACCTGCCACACAACACGCTTTGGCTTTGGGCAGCTTCACAGGTTCACTGGCATTCGTCTTCTCTGCACGTCTATGCCTCCGCGCCAGTCATGCCTGCATCCTTGCTTCGGCCCACCGTCGCAAACGGACACGATGAGCCGTGGCGAATGAGGCTGTAGCTGTTGCCGCCCGGGCGGCTGCCCGCAAGCGCACAGCGTCACCTGTCTGCAGCGCCTGCAGAAGGCATCAGTGGATGTGCAGCAGTGCACCCAGCACTGTGGTTCTGTGCTATTAAACTGCTATTCGGGTCGAAACCACGACGATTCCTTCTGAAACGATGCGAATGCCTGCAACGTTTCAGAATACTTGCGAAAAGGGCCACGAAAGCCAGGGGAAGGAAGCCCAGCCGTCCGTCGAATGTTGCTGCTGCCCGGCATTGCGATTATGCGGAGAGGATTGCCAATCTGCCACTTGCCGTTGAAACTGCAGCTGGGAATTTAGCCGACCTTGCATGGTCAAGCGAGCATGCACTGAAACGGCTACAGATGCTGGCAAAGGACCTTAAGGCGAATATAGGGGGACGGGGGAACCTGAATGAGAGGGACCAGAGTAGAGGGGGGTGCTGCGTCGTCCCCAGCCAGGAGGGCGGGTTCGGGTGGGTGGGTAGAGCAGTTCACAACGTGGACACTCGCATAAGACTCCCATCACGAAGCATCTATGTGTTTCTTATCCTTGCGCTCGGGCACAACAGTCTCTTCCCATGGATCTCCATGCCTAGTTGTGCTTGTGGCCTGCTGCGGTCGAACCGTTGCTGCGATCGAACCGTCTGATACAGCTCTGATTCTATCGCTCGCAAGATCAGCGTGCCGTAGTGAGCCCCTGATGTCCAGCGAAGCATTCGATGGGTGTACTATCTATGAAGTTTTTTTGCCTAACCCGACTCGACTGACATGCCAAAAGTGCGCAGCCTTCGCATCCTCAGGGGTAGAACCGAACGAGGAAATCCCAAGCTCTTTGTGCTGCCCATGGTCGTTGTCCTGGCCCCTGGGAAGTGTGTCTTGTAGAACACAATGGGGAAACCAAGCCAGTTCTGGCCCAGGCAATTGATGCCAGTGAATATTGCAAGCACGCAATTTTGGGAGTCCTCTGACACACGTGTAATGCTTTAAACCAGGATCACCAGAGCTGACAGCCCAACTCGAGAACCTCGCCAACACAGCGAAGTTTCAGTCACAACCACAGACGAGAGTTGTACACAACGACAAGAATTTCGGCGAGGGGAGGGAGGAGTAACAAGAAGGATTGGCACTCTATGAACAAACTGACCACCCCGCACATGTATCTCTTGGTTTCCCACGGTGTACGTCTTCACCCAGCCGCTTCTTTCAACCAGGCCCCTCTGGTGATGAAGAGCCAGCGTTGGCACTCGCACGTTATAAGACGTGGATTTGGGCCCGAAGGCCCCAAGTGTGCTCTGCTCCTCTGGAGCATGGGATCTTCCGGTGTGGGGGGTTTTGAGGGATCTTGGCTCTGGTGTTGCGGCATGCTTCCCGCTGCCGGTGCCTCGGCAAGTTCGCGACCAACGCTTGACTGTCCAAGCTTCTGGAGATGCTTTTGTGCCCGGGCCACCTGAAGAGAGGACTTGAAAATATTAACGATGCATCTGTGCCATAGGAATCACTGCCATGCACACCTCCTGCCGGTTCAGACCGGCTTGCTTCCCATCCTCGATGCATCTCCTTGTGACAACACAAGCAACTGGTCCTATTTGCCGACGGCGAAGTTTGCAGGGCCTCAGAAGCTCCACGTCTTTTGCAGTCACAGCTGCCTGCCCCGTGAATTCGCCTCAAAATAACGTCAGCTGGATCGACTCCCGGCCTCGATGCTTCGCCTGACGTCAGCCTGCACCACAAAACATGTCTGCACCAATCCCACCCTTTAACGATCGAGCAGCAGCATGCCTGCAGCTCCAAACACCGCAGGGCCTCTCTGGCACCTAGCAGCACGGCATTGGTTGCGTCTCGTGCGTTGCAGCACAGTAGTGCTGTCCCTTACCTGCAAGTTCTGATTCCGACACTTCTGCTCGTTTGGCAGCGGTGATTGCCGCACGCAGCCTCCCGTCACTCGTTCTTACAAGGGAATTTGCACATGAACAGGAAAGTCCGTTAAGATATCAAACAAAACCCTTGCCCACTGCACATTTTTCCATCTGATAGATTACTATCGCTCAGCAGGCGGGAACTGGGCCACGGCTCAGACATCCAAGCTCCTGGGCGGGACCACAAAAAACACGGAGTTTCGCAGCAGCTGTTCGGCAAGGCCAAGGCAAAGCTTGCAAGCAATTTAACCTCAAGCAGTTCTGCCGAAAGTTCATGGGCTTGATAGCAGCTATCCTGAATCTTCTGCTTCAGACGTGTGTGACGTCTGCAGAGTTTGCAGCGAATCCAAAAATCAAACGCCGCCTCTCAGTTCAGGAGGATGCCGTCGTATTTGGTCTGAAACCACTTCATCCCATCCTCCTTCCTCAGTCGATGAGACGATCCTACCCTCCCGCGTCGCAGCTTTCGGTACTGCACGCGGCCACCGGGCCGGGAGAGATGAACGTAGAAGTCCATGCCGTAGATGCCGGTACCAGGGTCGTACTTAATGCCCAGGTCGATGTGCTCTGTGATGCCAAACCCGAAGCTGCCATTCCTGGCGAAATTCTTCTTGCGAAGCTCGTACTCTTTCACTTTCAAGCCCTTCTCAAGAATCTCCTCCGCTTTCTCACCACGCACGGTCACGTGGCAAGCGATCTTCTCATTCCGGCGGACGCTCCACTGCCTGATGGTCATACGAGCCTTGGAAAACACTGGCTGCTGCTCTGTCAATTGCTCGAGCACCTTCGCAGCTCGCGTGAGACGATCTCCACTCTCGCCGACACTGATGTTCAAGACCAGTTTCTCCACACGGATTTGGCGCATTGGATTTTCGGACTTATCCGCCATGGCAGTGCGTCTTCACCTTCGATGCTCTCGGAGGTGCTGATGAGGTGTGACGCCGCTGAGATCCGAAATCAGACGTCCAAAGCAAACCAATCTTGGACTGGGTCTACGCAGGCTGCGGAGGCACCAAAACCGTAAGTATAGCCGTGCAAGCGGCCTGACACAAACTGTGCGCACAAACCTCTGAGAGGGCAACCCGGGGCGACGGAAAGCAACCAGTGGAGGGTCTTCTACCGGATCGCTGGAATGGCTCTGGCAGTTAAGGCACAGCACAGCTGCACGTCGTCCAAACGGAGTGCTCAAGCTGATCTGAGCAGCATGCAAACACAGGATAAAGAATGCAGTTCTAACACCACTCTACCAACTGCAAAACGGTCGGGTGGCAAGCACTTTGACCGCAGAGCTTCAGGCAATAAGCCATGTGGCAGTCTCTACTGAAAGGATGAATTGACACGTGCCAAAACTGTACAGAGTCTGGATGCAAGCTTCTTCTGCTGCCTATTGCAGCCAAGAGATATATCTACATATGATTGATTGTGCAGCCTAATCGGGCTTGAATTCACAAGTCTCTGCTATACTCTATACTTCCGATGCAGGCAGGCGTTGTTTGTGTCCTTGGACAACTTGATTACGACCTGAACGATTCGGGAGCAGAGGGGAACGAAAGATGCAAGGACGGCGACCATCAGGGTACAAAAGGAATTTGCCGAGGAAACAAACCAAAGCTAAGGCTAAGGCTTATAGGGAAAGATAGCCGACTTCGTGAGTTCCGGGATTTTAGTCGAGATCTGAGAGACCAAAATGAGTAAGCAATGAGTCGGTGAGCTGGAGACATCTTGCCATGAGTGCATTTGCGAGTAAATGAGTGAGATGGAGTGTGGCGTGAGTCTACAAGTTGACTGAAGCAGAGTGAGCGAGCAAGTAAATCTACGTGAGCGAACGGAAGAAGAGAGTGAAACTGGAATTATGGAGAAGTGGGTAGTCTTCAATGTATCATTGGCAACTGTGACTCAAAGGTGCCGAAATCAATTCCATCCAGAGTATGGTTCTAAATGAGGGAGGCGGCAGTGGCGGGGGGGTCGGGATCCACAGTCACGCCGTATCCTGAGGCTGAGCAGGCTGCGAGCCTCCGTCAAGTTCAACCGGCCCTTTATGAAAGGTATAGTCTCGATATCGTCAGGCTCTAACATCACTGGCCACGGCTCTCTGCAGTCTAGCCACTGAGAATCGCGGAAGGCTCCGGCGAGGTGCCTCGGGCCTCGGGCACCCACGACTGCCCAAGCAAACCGCATCGTCTGGAAACTGGGGCCCAGGCATGAGATTAGTCACTCTGTGAATGAAACAGCATAATGTGTTGATCAACAAGAGGAGATTAGTCACTCTTGCGCTTCAGCGATGCTCGGAGGTATCGAGATGGAGATGCGTTGTGGGTGGAAGGTGTCGCTACTTCGTGGCTCCGGTGAGAGTTGCTTGGGGAGGTTTTCACTTGGTCGCCCCTGGGTGTTGCATCGCTGTCATCGGAGTCAGCATTGATCTGATCACCAGTCGAAGAGATTGCATCTGAATCATCCCCATCTGACAAAGCAGTGGTGGTCACAGTTGTGGATGGCACTTGCTTGCCCAACGGGGCTGCAGTCGAGAGCTGGTAACTGGTCGGTGCCTGTCGGGCAGGTTTTCTTCCAACAAGGTCCCTGGAGACGATGTCACCAGTCTCATTGCAATCCAAGCAATCACGCTTTGGCTTGGTGGTGGCTCTTGTGAAGGTGGTGCTGGTCGTGGTGACAGTGCTGGTGGTGGTGGTTGTGTAGTCCCAGTCCGAGCAATTCCAACAATCGCTGGAATTCGATTCCAGACCAACGACTTCAGTCGTGTGTACAGTGTTGGTTGTGCTGCTTGTGCTGAGTGAGAACGTTGTGCTGCTCGTCACTGAAAACGTTGTTGTTGAGGTCCTCGTACCTGTGACTGAGGTCACCGTGAGAGTTGTACTCATCGTGGATGTGGAGCTTCTCGTGAGCGTCCCTGTAGATGTCTGTGTTTGGCTCGATGTTGTCCTGGTAGAAGTTGTCGAAATTGAAGTGGTGGCTGTATAAGTCAGGGTGCTGTGCGTCACAGTGACCTGAGTTCTGAGCATGTGGGTGCACGAGCAATATCTGTGAGTTCCACTGCGGCAGAAGCAAGGGCTGCAGCAGGCAGCGTAGTTGTCGGTGGCTCAGGCGGCAGCTTCCTCCACAAATGATTAGCGTCTTGCTTTCCGTATCTCGTCTCCCCGAATGCCCACACGGTTGACCCAGATGGGTTCGAAAGATCTGAGTTCGCCACACACAAATATTATCGCAGAAGGCTGGCTGCTGACATGTCAGCGTCTCGCTTCCTCTCAGCTATGCACATGACTGATGCATGCTAAAAGGGCCGAATCCCGAGTCCTCCAGGATTGAGCACCAGCCTGGCTAGTAAACCGCAAACCCCCGAGGGGAGCCGTGGAGAGTGCAAGCAAACCGCAGAGTCGAATGACCGAACACCCATGACTCATATGGCATCATAACAATCGTGCCGTGCAGACGAGACGACGCCAAGATATTCCAATGTGAAACACCCTTTGGGTAGCAGCGACTCGTTTCTGCGCTGAACACATTCCTCGCAGGTCATGAGTGTCACACACAGTCTGTATACTTGGAAACATGAAGGACCAGGCAAAGCTGGGGTGCTCACACTTAAAAGCGTGCCCCCACAAACGCTGGGCACATCAATCGTCCTGCAGGGTCAGGTCACCTGCCTTTCTGAAGCCGAAGTTACATGCAAAAGCTAGGGCAAAAGAAAGAAAACAGCCGGTCTCGTCAGCCCCCTCAATGCAGCTCATCGCATCCACGATTGGCCTGATGAAGGTGCAGGAAGGACGAAGAATCCAAGACACGCACAAGTCCAAATCCAGAGCAAAAGACACGCAGACCAGCAAGCTGGGAGGATTGCTGAGAGCCGAGGGGGCACGGCGCGTTGCCATTTGTGAAATAGATCCTCGATCTAGCTCTTGGCACGAACGGATGCGCGAAATAGGCGGGAACAGCCTGCCTCTGTCCAACGAAATCTGCCAGAGCACCTCTCCAACAACTTCGCCATCGAAAATTGCGAGTCCACTCCAAAGGGGCAACCCTGAGATGCTCACCAGCGCTTCCGGCTGGCTCTTGCTGCAGGCCTCGGGGCGAAGGTGAAACAGCCAGGCATCATTTTGCCCCACAGCCAGGCACGAAAAACCAGCTCGGCGCACCCCGCCCGACATTCCCAACGACTCTGCGGTGGTCCTTGCTGTGAGCACGCTGTGCCACTGGTCTGTATGGCACTATTCCTGCGAAATGGGGCAGTCCTGAGCCGGCAGAGCCTGAAGCTGCAATAGAACCATTAGCTTGAAGGCAAGCACGCATCCTGCAAAGGTGCGAGATCTACGATATTCAGCTCTCTCATCACTTCTGCTGCGGCGGCTCCTGTTGAGCAGGCCACTCGCATCCCTCCGCATTGCACGTTTCCGATTTACTTCTGATGGATGTGTCTTCTGCAGGCGTGGGCGCTTCTAATGCGGTCCCGGGCTAGAGGCCTAAACGGTCTTGGCCTTAATAGATTCACTACTCTGATGATGTTCTGCACATTAAGGGCAAGAGTGAACCTCACACTCCAGCGTCTGGGCCAAGAGCAGGGCCGACCAGTGCCAACACACACGCACACGCACACAGCGCAGCATCAAAAGCACGACTTGCGGCATCTCTTGCCTGTACATGTCTGCTGAATGTGCCGCTTCCCGCAGCTCTTGCGCCGCGCCTCCCAAGGTCTCATCACATGATGCGAACGCGGGCCTCGGGACCGCGCCAACTCGAGCTCGTAGTCGTCGCAAGCGCTCCCGTGCAAATGCAACCTGCAAGTAGGGACCATCACGACCACATCTCATTGAGGCCACGGCCACAGCAGGTTTGATACGACTACGGACCAGCCTCCGAAGAGGTGAAACCTGCTGCATCGGCGGCTGTAAGAGCCGCAATCAACCGCCGCTGATCCTACGGAGCACGTCAGGAGCACGGCACAGATGAACTTTGACAGCCAGGCCTCCCCGTGCACAGAGCGAGTCAACTCCTCGACCAGGTCAGAAGACGGCCGGGCATGGCTACAAGGCACGACATGCATCCTCGCCTCAGTTTGTTGTTTGGGCGTTCTCGCTTGTTTTCTACTCTTTTTCTTCTTGTGCAGTGCCTGCACCTCCCCGCGAGGTTAGAGCCTTTCCGTGAGGTGTCATTCTGTGCAGGACTGCCCTCGCTCCAGTCTGCAAAGCACCATCCTCCTCCGCTTCATTGACAGCTGTTGTTGTTGCCGTTTGTCTCGCCGGTCCTTCCGGTGTTTTTGCGCTTGTCTTCTCCATTCGTTTGTGCTTGCTTCTCCTCTCGTTGTTTCGTTGCTGTTTTCGTTTTCGCTGGGCGTGAGACAACACCACACAGTTGAGCCAGCACATCGGCATCCGGCAGTTCAGTTTTACCGTGTTTTACCCAGCCTACCTGCGTCTGCGCCGCCTGATCCCGAACTGCCTGAAGTTTTTCTTCTTGTGAAGCACGCGAACAACGAGCGGCTCAAGGGAGTTTTTGGATTGAAGGGTGCCTCTTATGCCTCTTGCGTTGTTGCATGAGAAATCTTGGACTCCCCCCACCCCCCCCACGCCTCCCTTCACGCAAGAAAGGACAGCTCCGAAGTATCTTTGCAAGGATCGTCTGGCCCACTGGAATGCACTATATCGCAGGTGCTTCGGCTCTTCCGCCGTGTCACAGTGTCCCCCTTTTTTCAGCATGGGTCGGCCAACCCTTCATGGCTCGGGGACTACTAAAGCCTTTTCGGGACATAATGTTGCGTAGCATAGCTGAAGTCGCGGGTGGGTTCCGACTTCAGCCAAAGTAGTTATCTGCGCAATGTACATGTTCAATTAAAGCGTTTTTACCAGTCGCGACGTGCGGCTCACCGTACTTTTGGCGCTGTCCAAACTGACCAATCGTGCTCCTGCCAGAGTCCCGCGCAAGATCTTGCTGTGCATATTTCGGGGTGCACGTCCTCCTCCTCCTCTTCTTCCTCCTCCCGCCCCAGTTCCGTGTGCCTCGGCTGCCCGAAATCGTGCTCCCACCAATGGCATGCGTGTTTCTGTCTCGTGCCCCAGCCACACATCACATAAGTGTGAGCAACCTGTGCGATAGCAGCGAGACACCTGCCAAAAAAAACAAAAGAAGCTTGTGAAAACCGCCTGAGAAACATGCGAGAAGCCTGTCTGAGCAACCCTGCTTAAAACTCGCGATTCGACAAATGGCTCGCGAATACCCCCCTTCCCAAGACCGCATGAACACAAGATGCCGGGAGGAACAACAAAGCGCAGCATGAACTGAACGACACCAAAATGAGGTGCCTCTGCCACCTCGGCACGCGTCTTGGCCATGGTCTCCTCCGCCTTCACAGATCTTCGGAGCCACGGAAGCAATTAACAAAGAGATCAGCTATTGCCATGCAAACATGTGCCACGTGAGGTAAGGACCTCGAGCATGGACACCGTCTTCTGGGCAATCTCGATGACTTCTGAGTTCTGCTCCAACACGACCTGCAAGCTCCGATAGGTTTGCTCGTTCTGTGATCCGTGATTTCAGCACCCTTCCTTGGCATCCTCCATAGCAGCCAGGATTGCATCCTTGTCTCTGGCCTGCCAATGTAGAACCAGCGAGATTCTGCAGACATCCGCTGGTTTCATACCGACAAGTTTTCACCTGACTTCCAGTCGCTGTCTACACCCCCAGAGGCACTTCCTCTTGAGGGTTTCCCCTCAACCAACGGGTTGGTGGACGGATCGGTTAGCTCGGCATTCAAGCTTGAGTGGCTTGATGACTTGTTGATGCTGACCTGACAAGGGATGACACAAAGAAACTGATGTGTTCAATCCGTCCCGCTGGCGTCTGCAGTCGTTAAGGCTTGGAGCTCAGTCTGGGTGCAATATGTCAGGCCTTTGGGCAAGATACCTACCTGCCTGCCTACTGCCGGCCTGCCTTCATGCACCGACATACACAAACATGGATAGAGACAGAGAGAAGGGGGGTAGACATGTGCGCATTCGCGTGCTCACCCCGACGACAAGCACACTCGAAGCTCTGCACACTTTCAGTGGCCGTGTGCATCTGCATAGTGGAGGGCTGACCTTCGTCGCTTGTGCCAATTTATCTTGGCACCGCTGGCGCGTCTTCAGCTGAGAGTGCCTGCTGCGAGGCCAGTCTCCATTCAACTCAGGCAGGGCAGAAGGTCAGCACCTCTGTTCGAACTGCTGCCACTCTTCTGCAGGAACTCCATGGCCAGAAAGTTCCTGTGGCAAGGCAATTCGATCAACAGCATGAAGCATCGAACATTACTCCAGGCACCTGAAGACCTTTTCCGAGGCTTTCGATGTCTTCTGCATCTGCCAGTCTTGACAGCCTGCTCGTTCTCTTCAACTGCCGTCAAAATGGTTGCCTCCGCTCGCTAGGCCATGCCTGCTCGTGGCATGTGTACGCAGAGCTGCTCGTGCTGCATCCAACCTAAAGCAGATCGTCTAGGGCGCTCAGTATGATACTGCTCGCAAGAACTATTCAAACTATTGCTTACTTGCTCTTGGAGAACTATCCACTCCGACAGACACAGCATGAAGCATGTTGTGAACATACGGCGCTGTCAGCATGATGCCGCTTTCAACATGAGATACTGGTAGCACAATCGATGCAAAAGATCCATGCTAAGACTCCCGAGTGCTTCGATGTATCATGAGTGCACGGCTCTTGCTTCTCCTTCGGATCATCCCCGCACATGTCGGGAACCTGAAAGGAGTACGGATCAATGCAGTCGACAAGACGAATTGCTTCACGCCCCACCCCTCGATTTCAAGACTGCCAAGATGGAGCATAGCACCGAAACAGCCCTGGACGCAGTCTGGACTCAAAAAACTCCCCGACCCCGAGACCGCACCCGGTGGACCGCCTTCTCCTGGAAGCTTTTTTCGGCAGCGATGATGGCAGCTTTCAGTCGGGTCATATCCTCGACGACAAAACAGGCGCATAGGCCATCAAAAGCCCCTCCAGCGAAGGGGGGGCGGCGCCTTGGCTTCGGCAGCTCGCCGGAGCTCTTTTCGGGCAGATTCCCTGGCCTCCAACAGCCAGAGAAGAAGCGAAAAATCCTCCCTTTACCAAGGACCAAAAGGCTAGGGGCCTGCAGAGCTCGAAGAGTTGCGCGGGCTCGCTTTACAACATCCTCTTCCAAGTGGACCTGCCACGCGGCGGCACGAACTCACAGTGCTTTGTTTGCACCTGAGGCTATTGACTATTCCGGTGCCTTCAGAGCCCCCTCGATGGCAGTCCGCAGTCGTGGGACATCCCGAACCTGCAGCGAGCAGATAAATGGAGACGCTTTGGAATGAGCGACGCTGATCATAGCTAACACGCCGGGCGATGCCTGTCTCTCTTCAGAAAACGGAACTTACGGCTTTGCAACATCTGTTATGGAAACCTGGCACAGAGCATGTCGGGAAGTTTCCGGACATACTCCGCCACCTCAAACCAATCCTTCGAGAATTTTGCCAACTTCGTTTCCGGATGCTTGGTGCCGTCGTTCTTGTGGCACTCCAGTGCCGACAAGTGTCCATGCATCACATTGGAGCCGCCGTGTGGGGTGAAACTGCGGGAAATGACACCCTGCTGTTCTACTCATCCCTCCGCATGCACATCCAGCAGCCAACAGCCATCGACACACAAACGGCCGATCGAGCTGCGTGATGTAGAGCCATGGTTCAGAGTCCAGAGGTCAAGAGTCAGCAAAAGCAGGGCGTTGAAATCAATCAACACCACAAGCGTACAGCATAACGCATAAGTGTAGTCAAGTTGGGACGAGTACAAGACTTGATCGGAGTCAAACGCAAAATCTGCAGCAGCTTTGTCGCGAGGCTTTCACAGGCCAGAATTCGAAGCGCGTGGTTGCGGATGCGCGCATTGCAACATCGCAGCTCATGCCCCACACTGATTTTTGCAGGGTCTAAGTTTCAGCCAATTGGATCCCCTCAACCGGGATGATGTGAAGTTCTCTGCCAGATCCAGACTGCCTAGGCAAGGAGTGGAACTTCCGGGTATCCGCACCTGAGCTGCTTTCCGCAGCTCTCTGGATGCCTGAAGCTCGCCAAGTTGCCAAGCTAAAGCTAACCAAGCTTGCGCAATGCTTTGATAAAACCAAGCGCCTCGGAACGAGCTTTGTGAGTACGCATCGCTTGCTTTAGTCGGGGTGCCTGGACGTAGCACAAAACTCAAGTCGCAGACCGAGCTGCGATCTGGCCTGCTCTGCGCCCAAACCACAGCCAACTGCAGCTTGCATTGCCTTGGCTCTCTCCTAGCGGTTCTATTGCGATCGCAAGCGGCTTCTCCACGTGTGCGCACCTGCTGTCCAAACTAAGCGTGCTGCCGCCTGCAGCTTCCAGTAGTCGCCGGACTCCACGGCATCCTGAAGGCCACAAGTAACGGCGAGACAGCGGAGGTGAACGCGAAGGCTGAAGCGTTCGGGCCGTTCGGGCCTCCACCAGCATCACCGCACTCTTCCGGAACTCGGCGGCCTTTGGCAGCACTTAGCTCAGCCGAGGGCTAAGGACGCGGCATGCCCCGCGGCCTCGGCAGCAAGCAGGACGTCGCGAGCCCAGCGCACCTGCTGTTCAGTTTTTGTGGAAGACATCACAGCCACCGCATGGGAAGGTAGCTGATGTGCCTCCGGGCCCTGCAGGCCGACTTTGTGGGCATCGAGGATCAAAGCCTCCAAAGCATATTTGCAAAAGCGACCCCCGAAGCACGCACTCCGAAAGCGAAGTACGAGTACCCTCACAACGCCAGTATGATTTCTCTGTCCCTATGAACTGAATTGTGGATTGCATGCTTGCTTCGACGTCTCATTCCTCCAGTGGCATATGGCACAAATATAGAGAGGAGCAAAGTTAATAACCCGGTGCCTGCACCTCCTCTGTGCGGCCCTTGTCCACGGCAATGGACAGCCGCTTCCGGAACTGAGCAAATCCGTCCCGGAAGAGAACGGTAGGTTCACACACACACACACACACACTCCGGCAGTAACGTCAGCCTTCTTGGTGCATGAGTCTTCGTCCTCACCAACGTACACTTGCTCACCTTGCCCAGAAGCCGGACTAAGGACTCAATTGTGGTGATAGGCCGATCCCGGCCTGGTTTCGCGGTTCCGTCCTGGCCGAGCTCTCACACAAAAAGTCAGAGACTGAACCCGTGCTGCATCCCAAGATCCTATGCAAGGCCTCTGGCCAAGGGTACACAGCGGGCGGTGGTGGGGGCGGGACACCCGCACGCAGAGGCCCTGTCAGCAAAAGCTGCATAGCACATGGATGCGAGCTCACGACTCCATGTCCGACAGCCTGATGCAATGGCAGGTCCGTTTGCAGCGGCACGAACCTGTTGTCTCTGAGTGTCTACACCCAGGTGAGGGTTGCAATAGCAACCAGCCAGCGAACGACATAACGGGAAGGATGCAAACAGGAACCTGGGGGACACACGTAACTGGAAATGGGTTGGGGCTAGTAACCGTAACCAGTGGGAATTGCAACGGAAACCAGCCGGACAACGAAACCCAAACCGCGTTTTGGGGTGAGACTTTAAGCTTAGAGAGCGCTTCGACCTCCTCAAAACAACGAAGCCCTTCAAAGCCCATACAAAGCCCTTACAAAGCCCTGAGAAGCTTTTGATAAGCTCCTAAAGGCCCTCAGAAGCCCTTAAAAGCCCTTCAACGCTAATACGAGCCCTTACAAGATTACAAGGGCAACCGTGTGAGCCCTTTATGAGTCCTTCAAAAGCTTGGCAAGCTCTCATAAGAAACCCTCAGAAGCCCTTTATAAGCGCTTTATAAATCTTGAAGGCCCTTTAGAAACCCTTGGCCCTTGTAAACGCTTTAGAAGCCCATACCTTACCTCTCTTCTTCCTGTCCCCTTCTTCTTCCTCTCCTCTTCCCCCTCCTCTTCCTCCCTAGACCCTAAAACCTGAACCCTAAACCCAGAAATCTTTTCCTCTATGCACACTCCCTCCAGAAACCCTCACCCCTACACCCCGAACTCTATACCCTATATCCCCAAACCCTGAAACCTTTAAAAGCCCGTGGGTTATCTTCGGATTTCACTAGGAACCCGAATAAACACCCATGGTTTCTTGTGGTTTTTGCTGCAAAAACTATGGTAAACCAATGTTCTAAACCCTAAACCCTCAAGTGTGTAATAAGAGGCGAGTGCAATGCACTAGTTGGAGAGGCAGTTCCAGTTACCCCCCCCCCCCCGATTGCTGTTACAGGCCTCCCCCGAGTTCCTGATATAGCGGGCCTGGTTTCTGAAACTTTGGAGCCAGCTCCTGTTACCACCTACTGGTCCAGGTTACAGCGTGTACTCGTCTACACCCATGTTACCGCATCCTGCTTGAAATCCTGAAAACTGGTTGATAACTGGTTTGCTGTTCTGTGGTGGGCCCTTTTAGCTTTTCTGTGCGGTATGTGTTAAATCTGTCAACAAACGTCTAGGCCTTTGAGCGGTGGCGAAATCCCAACCATGGATGCCATCTAACATGTTTAACATGACCACGGCATGACCCGCAAAGGACCAGATCTTGGAAAGCCAAGCCTGTGCGCACGTAGAACTCCGATGCTCAAAGTCAGCACACGAACACAAGGAGCACCCCTTAGCCCATCAGCTTGCAAAACCCAGGGGGAGCCTTCCCGTGAGCAACATTTTTCTGCAGATACCTCAGCGAGGCGCGACGCGCACGGCTAAGCCTAAGCTATGGGAGCCACGACTCAAGTGTCGGTGCGTGGCCCATCGTCATAGCGAATTGTCACGGCTCCATCAGGCGCCACCTCATTCTGGGCGGAAGCTCCCTGGAGGTGAGGGGAAGACGATACGTACCGGCAGCCTTGCCTCCACAACCTGACAACGCAGCCACGGACTTTTCACCGAAAAAACACCGCAAGGTCAGCTCTCCTGTCCGCAATGCCATCGTCCAGGAACCCACTCAGCCTTCACGACCCAGCAGCTCGGCCCGAGGAAGGTCACTGGGAAAAACACTAAACAGTCGGCGCCTCCACACGCAGACCTGGCACTAAGGCGGGTCCTGGTCCAGGACTGTAGTATGGTGCAGTCGCTACTCAACCGCTAGGGCCCCAACCGCACTGTGCAAGAGCTGGTGGGGCCGGTGATGGCGAGAAGCGAAAGCTTCCACCTGCAAGCGGTGTTCTCCTGCGATTGCAAGGCTTGAAATAGAATCCGACCTGGAGCACCGCCTGGCCATGGCGACGGAGCAAGCATCTCTCTGAAACTTTATGAAACCCCGTACACTTCCCAGTAGTTAGCAAGTCACCATTCTTGAAAGCAACAGAAATCCAGAATTATGACAATGCACTTCGCAGGAACACGCTTATGGGTTTGCGTGGCTGTGATACACAGCGGTCGGGAAGAGTGGAAGCTTTGAGGCAATCAGAGCAAGTAGGTCATGCAGTTTGTTTGATGCTTCACGCAGCTTCAGCTTCAGCACGTAGCAAGCCAAGATCAAGTCTGCGCCCACCTTTGCTGGAGGGGTTGACTGATAACGACAAACAAGCACACACGTGCAAACCGATCGCAAACCTAGGCAACATGTCTAGAAGAGCGACAGCACACACCTGGACAGCAGAAGCGATTCGTATGCAGTCTGCAGAGGATGACTCATGCAGCCAAAGCGAGGATTTGGACCCGGCCAATTCTACTCGGTTCACTAAGAGGAAGGAGAAGAGAGACAGAGAGGGTGAGGGCAAGGTGTGAGGTTTCGTGACATGTGACATATCCATATAACTACAGCTCTGCATTTCTGCCTGGATGTGCGTCTGTTTCTCTGCAGGCATGCACGCATACATGTGCGTGTATGCGCATGTACGTGTGTGTATATGGGTGCCATCACATGGCCAACAACAAGCGGAACAGTTGAAGACCCGTTCGACGTGCACTGTTCCTTCGGCCCTTCTTGCTGGGCTCTTTGTAGCTTCGTCCGAGGCCTTTCTTTGCCCGAGTTGCGAGCACCGGCTTGTTGAAAAAGGTGGATGCAAGGACTTCCGACATGAGTTCACGCTGCAGGTTTCATCCGACTTACCCAGCAGTGGTTTCCCACACACACCCAGAAGCAAACCGCATTACAAAACTTTTCTATGGCGCAAGGCAGGCTACCAAAAACAGTTCTGCACAGTTGCTGTACAAAGTGCGGGAAGAAGAATAATAAGAAGCTGATTTAAAGATTTTGCAGGGAAGGGCATCCTGCGAGGTTCGACGACTGTACACACCAGCCATCTTGGAAGCCACTTTTGAGGTATTCATTTCATGGGATAGAGTTTCAGTGCAGGAACCTGGGATCCCGGAACAAAGCATCTAGTCCAAACTTAGATGCTCATGCGAGCCATAGCGAGCCTCTCAACATGAAACACGCCATGTGTCGAGCCATATGTCCGTTCCGAGACTGGGGCCTGAAACTCCCCCCAAACCTGAACAAAAGCATTAAGCAGCTCCCCTATACAAGCCCGAGGCGCCCAGTCAGGTTTTGAGTACCTGCTGCTTCAGACGGCACGAGCATGAACATGTGGAACGCATGCGCTTCTTCAGCTCTGGATCTGCGCACTGATCTGGGGGCCAACTGCAATGCCTGCCCCACACATCGCAGGTCAGACCTTAGTTTGCTGCAGGGTAAGGCCACGCCGAGTTTGCTTTTTGGGCAGCTGCCGCAGACAGGCGCAGCTGCAGCGGTCTGCCAGAACGCCTGTGGCGTTCAGCGACACCTCAGATTCAGACCCAACTCTGTGGCCCAAAAGCTTCCCACAAACATCCACAAACCCAGTCAAGCAACAATCGTGAGGGAAGACGCTCTTTTCGGCGCGACCTTCTCACCAACCTGCTGAGGAAGCGGAAGAAAGCGTGAAAGGAATGGGAAGAACAGGCTGCGTTCCGCCTTGTTTAGTTCCAAGCCCATGCTTTTGATCACATCGGTCAGGTTGTGGGCTTTGGCTTCCGCGTGCTGGACCGCTTCAGTCCGTGTCTTGACGATCGCCTCCCGAAAGCACAGCTTCAAGGCCGGTCTGTGCAGCTCCCTCTCTCCGCTCTGCCTGGCTCTGGGCGCTCTTGGCTCTTCGTGGTGAGGCGGAGGTTTCTTGGCTGGCTCTGGAGGGGAAGTGCTGCACCTGCCACTGGGAGCGGCTCTTCAGCCCGAAGCTGCGCTGCGCCCTGGTGGTGCGCCTGTGTTCCTGAAGAAACCGAGGGCGCCTGACGCAAGTGAAGCCACACGCTTCGTGCACGGGATGAAGAAAAACTTGTTGGAGAGCTTCCGTGGCTGAAGTGACTGCAGGGCAGGGGCTGCTAACATCTCTCCCACCTGCGAACGAAAGCTAGGATCAGAAAGGGCCCGCAGGAACCTCAGCATGTCAAGCTGGCACTCCAAAAAAACAGCATTTGTCTTGGCGCACAGCTGAGATTGCAATTGGCTGGCCACCTCAGCACGGTGTTGACAGAGGCAGGAACATGTTAATTCGCATTCACTCAAATCGAGATCAAGGCATACATCGGACTTAAACCAGCTTCCTGCATCACGAGGCAGAACTGCACCAGTGCTGCCTGCCGTTTGCATTTGCCGTTGTGACATGCTCGTGCAGCACTACTAGGTTTGGCCTGTTCGGTGTCTTGTTGGCTTGCCACGCTATACAATCCATACAGCATGGACTGCTTTGCTAACATGACATATGGACTCTTCGAACAACTGAAAATTTCGTCAATCAAAATCAATCACAACAAACAAGAAATTGCTCGAGGCGGGATGCAGAAGCCTTTTCAACAAAGTGTTTGCCGTTGCTCGGCTGCAGTGGTAAAAGCGACTCGCCTCCGACATGCCATGGACAACAGCGCCGGGAGCGGCAGCTTTGCAGCTGTTCATCAAATCCTCAATACCTCACGAAAGTTATCGAGGCGTACCATGTGCAGCTTGTGCATCTGCCTTCTGCGTGCGGAGCTGAGAGCCCGACGTTCCTCCTCCTGTCCCTGCCTACGGAGGTAACATCAGAGCATCCAACGGTCCAACACCACCAAAAAGAGCTTGAAGCTGAAGTTTTCTCCCGGCCTCGGTGTTGTTGTACCGGAGCAGGTGCCCGTCACATCACCTGTCTACACTTTCGGTGAATCAACGGGAAACGAAGTAAACGAAGCAGCAGATGCACCATCGAAGCTCACGTCGAGGGAAGAACCGATCTGGCAAGGAGGCCCACTCAACGAAATCTTCGGCCAAACTGCAAGACAGCGGATGATTGCGTGCGGCAAGCCATGTCGGGCCCACACTGGAGACACATGTGCTAGGAGTCTGCTTGCCTGGAAAGACCATGAGCATCACCATGAGCTGCAGAAGGGTAGGCTGGGCCCGGCTGCGTGGCTTGCTGCCTGGCCTTTCTCAAAAGAGATCTGTTTCAACTTCAAGTCCTTGGCCAGAGGATTCCAGTTTGTGGCACCAGGCTGAACACTGGGCTTGCTGGGCTCCGCACTTCTGCCAGTCGGGATGCGGTCCCCTGGTCTTTCACGAGCAAGAATACTGCCTCGTGTCGGGCACGACGATGGATACTGCAAACGAGAGAAGTGAGCACCAAATAACAGCCTGTCCTCGGCGGGCTCGGCTGGGCTTGGGCTAGGGTGGGGCTTGGCCTTGGTTTTGGGCTAGGCCCAGTCTGGGACTGGGGCGGGGGCTGGGCTTGGCTGGTGCCCTCCAAATGACAACGTGTAGCGCAGCCGATACAAGCGGTTACTTGGCCCAGTACCGGACAGCTACTTGTGACGACTGTTTTTGTACACCGGCTAAGTTGTGCTGCCACACTGCCACGCAGCCAGTTCCGTAAAGTCAAGCTGTTATGTTATGTGGGAAGCGATGACAGACTAAGACTTGTCCTCGCGTCCAATGCTTGGTCTCCAGATTCTATGATTAGCAAGCCTTCACACTTGTGTGGGCGATAGTTGGCATGCCTTGCCAAGTCCGTGTAGATCCCGGACTGTATCCTGGAGGGCCGATGCATCTTTGCGAAGGTCCTCCGAAGTCAGAAGTCAGTGCAGTTGTGCAGATGTCTGTATCGGGAGATCCCTCGCCCGAAGTCCTCTGTCAAGAATATGATAACAGCATCGACCTCAGCAGTAATCTCCATCAGGCACTGCTGCACGTCATCCGACGAGCACATGGCTTCGCCATCTTGGATTGAACCCAACAAGAAACTGTGAAAACGTTGAAACAATCAGCTTCTGAGCTCTGCGCAGCAGAAAGCTGGACCATGATTTCGAAGGAACGGCAAATGCAGTTGGCCTTCGTCCCTGCATAGGATATAGAGCACACGGGCTGCAGCACATTGAAGCCATCAAGTGCTCTGATGCCAGAAGTTAAAGGACTCCGAGGTGCATAAACTTGAGAAAATCGTTTGGCAAGAAGCCGTGGTTAGTCCGCTCCTGAGTAGCCGAGAAAGAACATGGCAAGGTGGCTCTGGCAGGTGCCGGACGGTATCGTCACATCAATGGCAAACTCGACATCCTGACGGGATGTGGAAACGCACAGCCTGCAAAGTCTTACATGAAGCCTTAAACATGTGCCTGGTCAACGTCAAAAGCAACTCCACGACTACAGGGCGCACAAGCAGGCTCTCGGTTATCCATCCGTCCCTGCCAAACCCCAAAGCCCAAAGCCCTGATTCCTAGTACCGCTCGTTTCGGTCTGTCTGCAAGTGGCCTGATCAGAGTCGTTGGCACAACGATGAGGGGCAAGCGGATCCTGCACCATTTTCTTTGCGAAAGATGAGGCAAGATACCTATTGATATTCGTGCGATCTGTCCATCACAGATGCTACATGCTAATGTGGCTTGAGCGCTGCTGCTTATACTGCAACTCCTTTTCATGGCAGCCATGGCATGTAAAAACCTACGGCACGAACAACACAGCCGCTCTGCTGCTATTCCTTGTGCTCGAAATCTTTTGTTGAAATTCAACCAGGATTTCTTCGACCTTTGATCAGAACATACTTCACTCACAGAGTTTCCTCCCGCCAACTCGCCGCACATGCACACACACACACACTTTCATGCATAGCAAACTTGAAGGTTTCGCGCGTTTGGCAGGGCGCGACAAGAGAGGCGAGAAAAGAGAAACAGAATGAGGACTCCTCGGTACGAGAGCATGAATGATCCGTGGGAGTAGGCACGCCAGAGACAAGGAATGGCACATCAAATAAGATGAATGACAAGGATCCCCCAAGTTGTGCTGAGACTTCGCCGCGGAATCCGATTGGAGGGCGACCAGGGATGGCCACGACTGCTCCGAAACCGTTGGTGGCTTGCTTCAGTTCCTGGATCGGAGGCAATTCCTCCAACCATCTGTTGACGCTTTTGCGAACTCCGCGCACTGTGATGAATGCATCAGCATACAGATGCACCAGGGCTCTCGACATTTCTGCTGAGCTGAGAGCGAATCGCCTCGGTTTGTGTGTAGGCAACAAGTGAAGCAGCTGATGTAACGCCTGTCTCACGCGGGGAGTCAGCGAACTCGGGCCCGGGTTACCGACGTTGTTGAACACCCAGGTGCAAGTAAAGCACAGTTTCCCCGTAAGCGCGCGCCCTCTGCTGCGGACATCCGATCTCTGTCGAGGAACTGTTGGATGGTTCGTTGCAGATTCTTGATGCGCTTGGCGCCTGGTGACGCGAACAAAGCATCTTGCGCGAAAGTCCACTCTATGCCCAACAGCGTCCGCTCCCTGTTTGGGTGTCCTGACTTCGCTTCCTTCATCCTGAAGCTCAACAGTCTATGAAAGGCCTGGAAGACGGCGAACCCCCAAACCGAGCCAACGGAACTAAAAGGCAAGGCGAAATGCGATCAAAGTGTAGGCGGGTCGCCGATGGCATCATGACATTCTTGACAAGAAAAATATCCCGAAACGGCGAAAGCTTAACGAAGTCTGTCCGCCACTCAGCGAAACGCACGACTTGCGCTCCCTCTTTGCTTTCCTTTCCTGGAGGATTTCTGCGAATTCTTGAAAAATTTTGACATGGTGGGGCTGCGAGCACGAGTAGCACAGTCTCGAGGCAGAGAAGCCGACAAGACATCCTGCGGGCTGCGACCGAAGATGTCGTCGCGGTGTATCACTTCAGGTTACCGAAAGGATGCGACCTTGATGGCCTCGGGATCGAGCTCCCACGATCATGTCGAAGAAATTGAGCACTGCGACTGGGAACCGGGATCGGAGCTGTATGCTGGCATGATGTTGTGGAATAGCGGTGGCTTGTGTGTCTCGCGGAGGGGCTGAACGCTGAACGCTGGTTGTGGAGTCGGTTGCGGCGCAGCTACATGTACCTGCAGAGATGAGTGCTCGGGATGAACCAGGGCGCTGCCGTCTGTCAAAACTCCCGGGCGGCGCCCCGACGGCTGAGGCGTTCCGAGCTGTCCCTATGCCGGGGGCGGCGGTGGCACGGCGACCTGGTCGCGGAGACCTCCGGCTTGGTAGTGGACGAGTAGGGCTTGGGGACTGTGACGTGTCGCGAAAACAGGATTTCTCCCAGTGCGACCGCAGGGACTTCTTCTCGGCCACCATGCGAACCAAGGTCTTCTGCGCGCATCAGAAGATGGCCAGGGAGCTTACGGGGACTCGCCGAGTGCGTTAGCTTTTCGTTTCTCTTCGGAGAACTGTGAGCCATGGCTGGCACATGGGGAGGAGTTGCGCCTGCCCCAGACTTTTGGGCGAGCCTCCACAACGTGACGGACGAGATCGCGGCGCTAGAGCCCTTGCTCGAGCGGCTCGACTTGGAGAGCCTGGTCGCATTCCAGAAGAAGCTGCAGAAGAGTGTCAGGCAGTTCAACGCATCGGTGGCCCTAAGGCGGATGCTCCAGGTGCCAGTTCGGCGGATTCGGCCGGCCCGGTCACAGAGCCACCACCACTACACCGACGACCGCTTACTTGGACCCAGCGCAGCAGGTCGCTAAAGAAGTTTCTGTCGCCAAGCCCGGTCCCTCTGAAGGCGACACCCAAGCAGATGCAAGCCACGTTCGATGGCACGACCCTCAAGCTCTTGGACGTGATCGCGGCAGCTTAGGTCGCTGCGACCCCAACCCCGATGCCGGCACCAGCAGCTAGCTCACCAGCAACGGGAACGACAGACAACTCACAGGAGCTGCCAGCGGGCTACTGGAACGACTTTGTGGCAACGCTTCGACCCTCGTTAGCAACAGTTCTCGTTGCGCAAGAGTGACCGGGCTTGGAGGCTGCACGACGGAAAGCACAGCTTCCGGAGGGTGCTGAAAGCCATCGTGGAGGCGTCTTATCTTTCATCTGATTGTGCAAGTTACGCCGCAGTGCCTCATGCATTTCCAGCAGGCAAATGCAAGTTGAGGGAGGGGGGGCGGAGGCACAGATGAAACTCGAACATAGGCATAGCCTAATTCGCGTCGTGGCCAAGGCTGCCATGGCAGCATCACTACACGCACAAAGCAGGGTCCATCGAAGTTCGAATCACCACGGCCAGCAGCGATCCTTGAAGGATCCAGCTTCCCTGTCGGAGGAAAGTACACTGCATGCCAAACATCCGCAGAGCCCAACCAGCCTTGATAACTATATTCTCAGAGGACAAGGGATCCTTGCATCAAACTGAACTGGATGGCTTGCTTTCCCTGTTTGACATATCATCAAAGTACCAACTTGTCTGCAGGCAAGTGGCGGCTGATGTGCAGCACTCGGTACAGTCCCGGACCTGCGAAAAAGCGCGATGCTCGTGCTCTCACCTCGATTTTCCAAGCGGGCCTCTGAGCAAACACCTGTTGATGTGTCGATCCGGGTGTCCTGACTGCTCAGCTCACGCATCTGCGCGGTGAGCGCTCGCAATGCTGCCCGCCTCCAGAGTCTTTAAAATTCGCAGATCCCAAGGCGCACAGTCACCACTCTTCAAATACACGATGTCGCCAACAACCTGACGCCCGTCAGGAAGCAAAGGGTGCAGGAGCAACTGACATTGCGACCAACCCGTCAATCTGCTGGCTATTGCTGGCTCATGCAAAGGCGAGCACCATTTCTGGAGCGTTGGCGCGAACAAAGTCTCCATTTCGAAGCACCTGGCCACAATCTTAGATCCAAAATCCTCGGGCCCCTCACAGGATTCTGGGACCGTGCCGAAGCTGCGGGAAGAGGACACTTTGAGAGGCGGGGCCACGGGACGAAAGCTAGCCTAGGCTGTATGGACGGCGAGCGATACGGAGCTAGCTAGGCGGGCTCCAAGCATCATCACATCCAACCACATCAGCAATGCAAGGCAAACAGAGCTTACGAGGCGGGCAATCAGCAACGGAGGGGAAACAAAGCTGGCGAGGCGGGCTCCATCAGCAACGTGGGGAAACAGAGATGGCATCATCACCTCCGGCACATCCAACCACATTAGCAACTCAGCAGCGAGGAGGGGGGAAGGGGGGGGTGCTCGATGTATCAACTCGTTTGCGTCTGGGCCGGCTGTCCCGGCCCGCTGCTTGCGCAGATAGAAAGGAAAACATCGCTATGCTAGCTTTCGTCACCGACCTCATCTTCGGGGGGAAACCAGAAACCGGCTGACCGCTTCCAAACATCCGACCGCCCAGTCCCACCAAACCCACTCCCTTCACTCTCAGACGTTGCCCTGCTCTAGAGCTCCTCACCAAGGCTTAGCTCAAAGAGGCCAATGCATGGCCTCAAAGCTGTGATCGAAAAAAGATCGAACATCGGGCCTCAGTCGCAAACACGAGCGCAAAGCCTTGCACGTGATCTTGCAGGTGCACGGCCACCATGTCCGGTTCTCAGGAAATCCTGCGCCCTTGGGCTTGAAGCGGGCATCTTGAAGAGTGCTTCGCTGTCATGAGACTGATGAGGCTGCTGCGCCCGCCATGCATGAACCGAACAAGGGGCGTAGCGATGACCTTCCGACTACTTTGCTGCCAGGCACCGTTCAGCATGGAATCTCTAGCACTGCCTGCCTCCTGGAGTTCTGCGCACCTAGGTCAGAGGCATGGCTGTGCCTGGAGCCTCTCAAATCACTCCTGCCTGTAGGCTGCCGGAATATTCGCATGCTGCTAAAGAAGCCTGTTAGGGCCTCTCATGACGCAGTCATGGGCCCTCCGGCATTTGAAGCAAGCACAGGAGGGCTTGCGCAAACAGGCGGCCTTTTCACTGACCTTCGGCTTCTCGAGGGTTAAACCGAATCGACGACACAACGCAATCAGATCGGCTGTGTGTTCCTGCACACTTTCCGAGTGGGCCATGCGGGCCACGGCAACCAAAAAGCTTGTTGCCAGGGCCTTGCCTCGAATCGGGCTTCTTCCAATCCTGCTCTCTCCTGGAGCACAGTAGAAGCCGACTTGCTTCAACACCCGCTTCAACAGCCCCACGCTGCGGCGAAGGCTCCTGCAACAGCTTGTCGGCTACCTTGAGCAAGAGTTGAGCAGTGGCCTGTGGAGATCGAGAGCCAGAGTGAGTTAAACGATGAGTGGTATGGACTCTTGGTCACCGAACATCCTGCCGTGGATAACGGCGTCGATTCTCAGTAAGTTCTTGTGCTTCCTGCAAGGTCTGAAGTATTCCGTTTTTTGAGATCGGAAGATCCACTCAGCCCGTTGAAGCTGCCATCGCGGGCTCATGCCACCTTGTCTTGCTGGACCACCTGTTCTCTGTACTCCGTACAAAGCCTTGGTCCGAGGCACATCACACTCAACACCCAGCACTGAAAAAGCAAGGTTCTGGCTGATCCAGCAACCAATGCGAAGTCATGACCTCGAGCTGCGCCTGACTTCACAGCGAAAGCGGGAAAGAATCTGGCACAAGCATTCGTGGCATCGTGTACCAAGTGGAAGGTCTGTGCTTTTTGAGTATCAACCTCTCTTGCTGCTCTGACACGTGGTTTCGTCCGTAGGGGTGTTTCCATTACGGCCTATCCGGGCCTATCCTTTGTCTGAGTGTTCCATTGATTCTGTCCTGGAGACGTCCGGTTCGCTGTGCAAACTGCACGAACTACTAAGAGCTCCAAACACGCAGACAGGCCTCTACGGTGAAGATCCTTACGAAAGCAGCATTGCATTGAACACAAAATGTGTACAACTCGGGTGCACCATGTACGAAGACGAGACCAGACGAGTGGGTGTTGAATCTGGAAGCGATCGACAGCGAGGAGAGCCGCATCGCACAACAGCAGGCCATGTCTTGTGAGGCAGGTGCACATGAAGAGATTTGTAAAAAACAGGTGCGTCAGAAGGGCTGAAATATGGCAAAGGCTACAGCTTGCAAGGAGTGGTCGGAAGAGAACCGCCTTCCATGTTGAATTATGCAAACCTCGAAAAGAAGATTCCCCAATAAATCCGAAAGCTTCTTGATGAAAACGGTCAGCCTGCCGGAGCTGCTGCGCTGATATCATGCCAAGAGAGCTGTCAAGCAAAGATCTACCTGAAAAACATATCTTTCAAGTCCGGCCCAATTCTTCCGAAGAGATGCTGTTCGCTGATAACCCCAAAAGCATGACACCAAACCCGCGGTAGCCTTTAACGCCGCAACGTATTGAACTACCTCGACAAACTAGCCGGCAACAGTTGATGGACCGCGAGCAAACCACAAACTCCGCTAACGGTGATGAAAAGCAAAGTGACCCAAATTTCGTCATCGCACTAACCTGATGCGATGCTGGATAGGGACATGGTTTTATGTACACAGATGCATCTGCGACCAAAAACATGGCTAGCTTTCCACGTATCTCCCAAGTCCAATCTCGATGTCTGCAGAGGCTGAGACATGTAATTCGCCAAGCACCAGCCCAACTTCGCAAGTCCGTGCACATGCATACTGCCCGTTGGTGCACACACTGGTTCGTGCAGCATCACTCAAACAGTCTTTCTTGCCATGTTCAACCTGATGTGATTCACAGTTGTGCCGAAATCGGCGAGAACGGGTTCGGGATCTTTGTTTGACCTACACTTGCATTTAATTTGAGCTGCTGCAAAACGAACGTGATCTCTTGCTTACCTCACAGAATGCGTCAGCCTGCGTCCACACGTATTTCTCTTCGGGACTGTGCACGGACGGATGTTTTCTTCAACTGTTCGGAGAAGACATGCGCAGAATCTCTTGAAGCCGCTCTCGCGATGTGCAGAGTTTCTCTTGCTTCCAGCCTTGAGCGAAGGCAATGGTCATGCCAACGTGTCTAAAGACATGTGTGGGGTTGTTCTTGGTTGTTAGCCGGATCTACATCGACACTTCGACACTTCTGGTGCTCTTCGTGCTTTGCAAGACCATAGCTGAGATCCATCTTGAGCCACAGCGAGGGACGCACGCCATGTATATGCAACTGAGCAACCGTCTGTATCCGTCTGTCTACGATGGCTCGCTGCAGCCGCATGTGTCAATTGCCTGATTTTACAGGCCCCCAGCCCCCAAAGCACCGTGTTTAAGTGAAACAGAAAAACGAAGGCAGCAACTCGCTGCCATGATGGACTTCCACAGTCAACAGTATTCGGGCACTCTGCGCGAGTCTTCCACATAACTGCATAGGAAGTCCACTATTCAATAATCATCTTCATACCCTCATACCTATCAGGACCACCCACATATGGCGGAAACGGCGTTGCCTGGATGACCTACACACTCAAGATCGCGGACGGTGCAACGAAGCTTCTCGCTTGTCTTCCTGCCATTCTGAGACCGGCACGCGGATCGCATCCTGCAGCTCCTTCGGCACGATGACCAGGTCCTCGCAGAATCCGCTTGGATGTTGCAAGTTCGGCCGTGCCGTGCTGTGGATGTGGCCACTCAGTCCTGAATCAAGATCGCCTTTCCCAACTCGGCCCTTGCCTGCAAAGCTAGGCTTCGTGGTCACAAGAACCCCTCGTGCCCAAATCGCAGTTCGCCTCGGCATTCTTGTACACGTACACCTTGAAAGAAGAGGGTGACGTGCCACACGGTAGCAGTGCATGGATCCCCGCCTCGATGCCCTCTTCAGGCTCACTGATGTCACTATCGATCAAAATCTGTCCCGATCTGGCTGCCTGCAACTTGGACAAAAGTTCAGTGGCACTCTTGTCGCGTCTCGCATGCGCATCAAGTACAACCGAGTCTTTGGTTGGCACCTCGTTGTAGTTGTCTCGGTCAACTACATCGAACTTGAAGAACTCCTCCGAGTCTGGCTCCGCAGTCCAGTGGATGAAGTACTTGCCACCGAAGGCGCTCTGGGCAGAGAGCAAAAGAGCAAAAGCATCGCTTCGCATAAACAACACAACCCGGAGCCCCGCAACCCCGAGGCGACTCGAGGCTCGAGACCCAGGCCGCTTCGAGTTCCTGGACGAAGCGTTGCGTGACCGCCTGGCTGGGCACTTGGGTCCTCGAGTCCTCTCAAGCTCCATCTCAGTTCCCTCCCGCCTGCAGATAAAGCCTCATTCTATCGTAAGGCTCTGCTTTCCAGGACTGAACCTGAGACTCTGATGAAAATGCAATCCAGCATCTGGGACTGGACAAGGCAAACGCCTGCAAGTCGTAGATGAACTTGTTCTTGCCTCGTGGCGGGTATGCCCTTTTCTGGAAGCCCATGTCGTGTATTCAAGGCAGCTCGGACCGGGCATCTCACTAGGCTTTGGTGGCACCGGAGGAAGCACGTTCGGGCGCTGGCGCAGGGAGGCAGAATGCAAAGGAGCTTGACTTGTACAAAGGATCCCTCAGAACCCGCCTCCGCGGAGGCGGTAGAAGCTCCTGCCAAGTCGCTGAAGAGCTACTTCTTCTTCATTGTGCATCTGCAAGTTTCTTCATTTCGAGGCCTGCACATAATGCAGCAAAAAACACCGCAGCTGCGCCGGTGAAGCTGCCTGGCAGCGAAACTATAATGTGCATCAACAACAAGTCGTCATTTTTGCTGAAGTCTCTTGCCAGGCCACGTCGGTTGCTGGTGTCCATTGTGGACGGCATTTCCTGTGTCCTGCTTCCCAGCGCATTCCAGGCTGCAAGACTTAAGAAGCCTGCAAATCTGCCGTCCTTCCGCTCTGTGATCCTGTGATCCGGTCGCCCTGTCTAAAAACCAGTGAAAGAAAACTTGACCAGACCGAAAAAGAGGGTTCCCCCTCCGTGAGCGGGGAGGTTCGGTTTTGGGGAGTTGGATGTGTGGCGATTTGTGGTTCGAGGTCAGTTCCTCGCCGACCTCAAATAGGAGGACCCAGGAGCTGGGGTCGGAGCAGCCCAAAGCAAACGTACCATGTGCACGCTGATCTCTGCACATCTATGCTTTGATGTATGCATGCAAGAACATATGCATGTATGCGCGCATGTGTGTGTGTGGGTGGGTGGGTGCGTGTGCGTGTGCGTGTGCGTGTGTGCGTGTGCGTGTGCGTGTGCGTGTGCGTGTGCGTGTGCGTGTGGGTGCGTGCGTGCGTGCGTGTGTGTGTGTGTGTGTGTGTGTTTGTTTGTGTGTTTGCTTG